GTGAGCTCAACCTAATGTTGAACCTCAACATTTTAGGAAAAGGAGCAAGTTAAATCGAAAACTTGGAGGAGGAAGGAAATTATGTTTAGTTCACAGCAGAAAGTAATGCAATTGAGACTTTATTACAAAGAATGAATTGAAGCTGGGTATGGTGGCACACGCCTGTAATCCCAGCACTCGGGAGGCTGAGGCAGGAGGATCACTGAGTTCGAGACCAGCCTGGGCTATACAGTGTGTTCCAGGTCAAGTCTCACTACATAGTGGGACCCTGTCTCAAAAAAAAAAAGAGTTGGTTCTTCGGAAGATAAAATAGACTCAGCCGATCTTATCATTGAAAGAAAAATACACAAATCCATGCAATTAGGAATGAAAACAAAATCGCATGAGATCCAGCAGGAGTCCAGAAGGTCATTAGTTCCTGCTTTGAGAACCTGTACTCTATGAGATAAAATTAAGAAATTGACAGATTCCTAATAACATGTAAACTAAAAAGCAAATCATGAAAATATAAAAATTCTAAATCCAATATGTCAATAAAATTGAAAGAGTAAAACAAAAAATTACCACCAAAGAAAAGCCTAGGTCCTGAAAGATTCAATACTGAATTCTATAAAAACTTTAGAGAAGATCTAATGTTACTGCTCTTCAATCTTTAATGAAACGGAAAGAAAAGCAATACTCCCAAACTTATTCCTGGAAGCACTACCCTGATGCCAAACTAGAGAAGGATCCATTTGAAAAAGACAATGACAGGGGCCGGATTTAGCTCAGTGGTTCTGCCACCTGCCTCACAAGCACAAGGACCTGAGTTCGATCCCTGGTACCTAAATAAATACAATAAAAAAGACAATGACAGGCCAGTCTCCATAACATAGATGCAAAAGTCCTCTTTAGGATATTGGCGAACAGAATGCAGAAAATAAAATTATACACCATGACCAAGTAGAATTCATCTCAGGGATGCACAAATCAATAAATTTAATATACCACATTAACGAATGAGGACAAAAACCACATGATCATCTCAATAGATGCAGAGGAAGCATTTGACAAACTCCACACCCCACTGGAATAAAAACTCCAAGCCAAGTTGGAGTAGGTCTTAATCTAATAAAAGCAATGTATGACAGACCAGCAGCTAACATCATACATACTAAATGGTCAAAAACTGAAAGCTTCCACTCTAAAATCAGAAAGAATGCAAGGATGCCCACTATCACCACTACATTTCAGTATAATTCTGGAACTGTTAGCTGGAGCAATTAGACAAGAGAAAGAAAGAAAAGGAGTATGTATAGGAAAGGAAGAAGTTCAATTATTTGCACATAACATGGTACTCTACATAGACCCCAAAACACCAAAAAACTCCTAGAATTAAGTAGCATACCAACATACAGACTCAACACAAAAATCAATAGCATTTCTGGACATGAATAACAAGCTCAGAAAAACCAGTCTTCACAATTGCATTAAGAAAAGTGAAATAGGAATCAATCTAATAAAGGAAATGAAAAACCTATACATTGAAAGCTACAGTACTCTGAAAAAGTAGATCAAAAAGTATATCAGGAAATGGAAAGATATCCCCTGTTCTTGGATACGCAGAACCAATACAGTGAAAACAGCCGTACTTCCAAAACTGTTATACAGATTCAATGCAACCCCAATCAAAATAAAAATAGCATACCTTACAGAACTGGAAAAAATCCTAACTAGAATAATAGCAAAAGCAATTCTGGGGAACAAGGGCAAGGCAGAGGACAGCACAATCCCCAATTTGAAGTTACACTATGTAGCTACTGTGATAAAAACAGCATAGTATTAGCAAAGAAAGAGACCTAAGGATTAATGAAAGAAAATAAAAGATGAAAAATAACTCCAAAGACACTCAGGTATATTATCTTTGACAAAGAAGCCTAATAATACCTTCACTAGAAGAAAGCCTCTTTAACAAGTGGTGCTGGGAAAACTGACCTGCAGAGTGAAGAGGCAACCTGCAGAATGAGAAAAAATTCTGGCAGCTACTCCACAAAGGACTAACATCTAGAATTTATAAAGAACTAAAAATCAGATCCCTCCCCAAAATTTAAAGACCTAATCCAAACCCAGGCACCTGAAATCATGAAGTACAAAAATAACTAAATACATGAAAATATGTTCAACATCACTGGTCACTTGAGAAATGCAAATTAACAGATTCCATCTCCAGAAAGAATGGCTATCATGAAATCAAAGAAATCCTGTCAAGGTTGTCGGGGGAAAATCCTCCATTGTTGGGAATATAAATTGATACCATCACTATGGAAATCAGTATAAAGTCCTCAAAAAACTAAAACTAGAGTTTTCATTTGACCAACTGTGCCCCTCCTAGATATCTTCCTGAAAGAGTTATAAGCATCAGACCAGTGATTTATACATACGCAATATTTATAGCAGCATAATTTATAATAACTAAATCTTAGAAACAGCCCAGATGCCCATCAACGAATGGATAAAGAAAATGTGATATTTATATCAAATGGAGTACTGCTGTGACACAAGGATAAATTTGAGTCATTTTTAGGGAAATGGAGGTAACTTGAGTCCATAATTTTAAATGAAATAAGTCAAGCACATTGTTTCTCTTGTGTGAGAAGCCCAAAGGGTAAACCAGGAGCAAAATGGAGGATAGATGCTAGGAAGTAGGAAGAACATGTTCAAGGGAAGAGAAATAAGGAAAAGAAGAGGCGGAAGGGAAGAAAGGGAAATGCGACTTTAAAAAGAAGGGAAGGGAAAAATGGAAACAAATGCTTTTGTAAATGGGGAGGGGAACAATGGTTGAAAGAGTGGAATGGAAAAAAAAAGATGATTATTATTATTACTGGTGGGGGGGTCGAACTCAGAACCTTGAGCTTGTGAGGCAGGCACAGTGCCACTGGGCTGAATCCTGGCCCCCCAAAAGACATTATGTACAAGTATAAGTTCCATATGATGAATGTGATCACTATGTATGGCAAATAGGCACTAGTAAAAATAAATAGTAAAACTAGAAGTTAACATTTGACCCTTTCTAGGTATCTTCCCAAAAGAATCACAGTCATCATCCAGAGTGATACATACATATTCGTGTTTATAGCAGCATAACTTGTAGTAGCTAAATGTTGGAAACAGCATATACTCATCAACATGAATAAAGAAAATTATATATATAATGGAATACTACTGTACCATAAAGGGTGAACTTGAAACATTTTTCCATAAATGGATGCATCTTGATAGTCATAAATCTGACACACAAGTTTAAGTATCAGATTGTTTCTCTTGTATGAGAAACCCACAGTATAAATAAAAGCAAAGTGGAGGATAGATACTAAGCACTACATAGATAGATAGTAATCCCAGCACTTGCAAGGCTGAGGCAGGAGGATCACTGTGAGTTCCAGGCTAGCTTGGGCTACACAGTGACTTCAAGTCCAACTGGACTTGAAGCATAGCAAGACCCTGTCTCAAAAAAACAAAACAAAACAAAAAACCTTCAAAAGGGAGGGAAAATAAGAAATGGGGGAAGAGGAAGAGAAGAAAGGGAAATGAGATTTAGCGAAAAAATAAAATTGAAGGGAAAAAACATCAAAGTTAGCTTTTGTAAATGGGGAGAGGGAGAAAGGTTGGAGGGCAGGGAAGGGAGACAAAGACATGAAGATGTGTTATGTACAAGTACAAATTCCTTACGATGAACGTGATCGTTATGTACTGCAAACATGGAAAAGTAAGTTAGTTTTTACAGAAGAAGTTGGACCTTATGGGAAGGTTTAGGTCATGAGGGACAGGCCCACCCAGGGAACTGTGGTAGTCTGACCTTGTACTTTTATTTCCAGTCATGAGGTCAGTGGGTTTTTATTAGCCATGAGATGCTCTGCCTTGCCATGGGCCAGAAATCAATGAGAAAAACTCACAGTGGACTGCAACTTCCAAAATCATGAGCCAAAATTCATAATTTAAAGTTGATTTTCAGAGCCAGGCATGGTGGCCCACACCTGTCATCCCAGCACTCAGGAGGCTGAGGCAGGAGGATCGTTGTGAGTTTGAGACCAGTCTGTGCTACATAGTGAGACCCTGTCTCGAAAAATAAATAAAAATAAATAAAAATAAATAAAGTCGATTTTCAGCGGGGCACGGTGGCACATACCTATAATCACAGCACTTGGAAGGCTGAGTCAAGAGGACTGCCATGAGTTCAAGGCCAGCCTGGATTACATAGGAAGACTTTGTTTCTAAATTAATTAATTAATCAATTAATTAAAAAAATAAATAATAATTTTTAAAAATTTATTTTCTTAGGGATTTTTTTGTAATAGCTAATACAGGTATGGTCTTCCTTTTTTGGGACTGTAAAGACACTTTATCTTTGTATCACTTGAATCTTAGTGTCTAACCAATCAATACCTAAGGTACAGGTGTGTATCCTATCATTCACAAATATGTGCACTCTGCTGAGCTTTCTCACCATATAAGTCTCAGACACTGAAGAAGCTTGAGGGGCTAAGAATGTAATTCTAGTGGTAGAGCACTTGCCTAACACATTCAAGGCCTTGGCTTCAGTCTGTAGCACTGAAAAATAAAAACATTGAGGCAGTATTATTACTATAGCTCTGAAAATACAGGGACACATCTTTCCTTTTTCTTAGGAAGGCTGGTCTGTAAGCAGGCAGTAACTGTTTATTGTCTTTTCATCTTTCATTGCCCCTTCACGCCAGTCTCCCGCACACACTCTTCAGCCCATTGGATGTAGACAGAAAGAATATTGAGGTTAGTTTTGGATCCCACAGTTGTTTCTAGAACGCTTAAGGGAAATTTCCTCAACACAACTATGGAAAGTTTTGACATTTTAACAGTACACTTAAAAAACTTTTAGTAATATTTTTAAGTATACTGTAAGGAATTTGATTTTTTGAATTTTTATTGGTAAATCTTAAAACCATTAAAAATAAAAGTTCATTCAATCAGCAGAGTTTGTAGCAGAATTACGGATTTTATTAGTTACCAGTCCATCACCAATTCATACTGACTGTCACCTTAATAGCTTCAAAACTGTATTAGAAGCACAAGCATAAGCATTTAGCAAGCAAGGAAAAGGTGAAATTATCTCTGCCATTTTCTCTAGTATGCTGGCATATTTATCAAAGGAAATTTGATAATGGCACTTTTTAAAATAAAGAACTTACAAGTTTACTGTCTCAAGTTTATGTGCAATTCCAGAAAATAATGAAGATGTAAGTCTTGTTTTAAAAACTGGACAGATCAATGATACATGTGTCTTACCTAAGAATTATTGGGGTTTATATAGGAAAAAATGGATGGTACTACCATACATGTTGACACAGAAAATCATTAGGCAGCTTCCGAAATTGGCTAACAATGGAGCCTAAATTGAAACACTGATTGCAGGTTTTGTAGGTCCTGCAGACAGATGTGAATTCTTGAGGTGCTTAAATTGCTTCAACGTAGTTGGCTGGGAGCATGCCAGTCCTGCCAGTCCTTTGCACTGTGCCATACATCCAACCTTCATCAATAGCTTGAACATTTATGATAGCATCTCCATCTTTGAAGGACACCTCATCTGCATCTGCAGCCATATAGTCATACACAGCACGGAAGATTTTCTATTATGGGGATGGAATAAAAAAGGAAATTATAAATTGAATTTGTAATCATTACACACCTAATTTTAAGATCTTATGACTTTTTCCACTAAGTTGCACAAGAGAAGATATGTAACATCAACAAAGTAAAAATGCACAACATAGGGAAATATTTGCACATCATTTATCTCATAATGAATTAGCATGCAGAATATATAAAGAACTATAATTCAGCACCAAAAATAAAAAATAAATAAAAAGCAAAGAATATGAATTGACATTTCTTCAAGGATATACAAATTATCAATAAGCACATGAAAATATGCTCAACAATGCAAATCAAACACCAGAATAATGATAATCGTTAAAAAGACAGCAACATGTTTTAGAGGCACTGGAGAGAAATCGGAGTTTTCATAAACTGCTGGTGGCTGCTGGGCATGGTGGTACACACCTGTAATCCCAGCACTCAGGAGGTTAAGGCTGGAGGACTGCCATTAGTTCAACGCCAGCCTGGGCTACAGAGTGAATTCAAGGCTAGACCGAACTACATAGCGAGACACTGTCTTAAAAAAATAACAAAACAAAACACAACTTCTGGTGGGTATATAATATAGCCACTTTGGAAAATAGCTTGATATTTATCACATTAAATACAGAGTTTCCACCTGACCCAGAAATTCTATTCCTAGATGTGTATACACAAAAGGAATTGAAACATCTGCACAATAACTCATACACCCATAGTCACACCAGTATTACAGCAGCCCCAAAGTGGAGACAATCCAGATGGTTACCTACCAATTGAAAAACAAAATGAGGCATATATGCATACAATGAAATATTATTTGGTAAATAAAAGAATGAAATACTGATATACAATATAGACAAGCCACAAAACATTCAGTAGAAAAAGACATGTACCAAAGTCCACATACTGTACAAGTTCATTGTATGAAATGTTCCAAACAGACAAGTCTATATATACAGATTACTGAACACCTAGGATTGAACGGAGCACAAAAGGGGAAGCTGGGCATGGAGAGTGAATGCTGATGGGGGTAGTGTTTTCTACTGTTTATGAAAATATTATCCGATTGTGGTAATGATGGACCAGCTATGTAAATGAAACAAAAGTGAACTATATACTTTAAATTATGAATGTCATATTGTCTTAATTATATATTCATAAAGCAGAGAAAATTGTGCTAATTTTATTTGTGGCTGTGGCCTTCTTCTCTAGTTTGTGGAAGTTAAGCTTGTGTTTCAGGAAAGAATTGGAAATCCCGTAGCAGTACTGCTTGTATGAAAGTTGGTCAGAATCTCAATGGAGTCATTTTTATCAAGCCATGTCCAAAAAGAAAAAGCCAGCAGAGTATGAAGGAAAGGTTTCTCAGCATGATTGCCTGACAGTAACTATCACAAGACTGCCAGAACCAAAGCCTACACAAAGGCCACTCCAGTCTTACACAGTACTTAGAGGACATCTTTCCAGCAACTGTGTATTCAGCCTCAGACTGGTGTTACCTTTGTTAGTCCATGTAGCCAAGGACTACTGCTTGAAAATATTTTATGTAATCTTCTTTTTGCCTTTAAAGATTTCCCTTGCCTCATCCACTTTGAATACACCCATAATTTGTTACGGCGTGCAAGGTATTGCAGAGCTCTTCTATCCCCAAACATGTTATTATTCTTTGAGAAAATCTCTGAGTGTTATTTAGGTTGACACATGTCATCTCTCACGTTGAGAATTTAGATGCATACAAGTAATAAAAGTTTCTAAAAGTCATTCAAGACAATGTTGAAAAATAGTAAAACTTTTGAGATATACATAAGTGAAAATACTCAGTTTCTTCCTAGGAGCAGCCTATTATTGGTGGTTTAGGATGTAATCTATACATTTTTTTCTTGAATTCTGAAATATGCACACATACATTTATATTCACAAATAAAAATTTCCCTTTCACCCCTGCATAAGTGAAACAGTATTATAAATAGTGCTCTGCCCCGTCCCTCCCATTTAATATAGCTTGGAAGCCTTTTGATATAAATAGAAAGTAGTCTTTTTGAGTGCTGCAGAACATCTCACATTTCAGTAATACTACAATCTAGCCATTTCCATTTTTCTGTACTGTACTTCTCACTATGTTATTTAAACACTATAATGAGCCATCCTAGTGTTTGACTTTGGGCAAATAATTTGTGAAGAGAACTTTAAAGGTGAAAGTGTGAGGTTAAATGGTGTGTTTAAATTATGCCAGGCATGGTGGTGCGCACCTGTAATCCCAGCACTCGGGAGGCTGAGGCAGGAGGATCACTGTGAGATTGAGACCAGCCTGAGCTACATAGTGAGTTGCAGGTCAGTCTCAACTACATAGTGAGACCCTGTCTCAAAAAAACAAAAATATAAAATTAAATTAAAAAAGGAGTTATTATTCAAAATATTCAGGGATGATACGTTAATGTTTTCCTTTGCATGTTTTGGTTACTGATCATGGTAAACACGTTTTTGGTAGATCATTTTTATTGCTTTTCCCATAACTTGTCTATTCATACTCCTCTAGGTATTTCTTACTTTTAGAGAGAATTATTTATCTTTGCATTTGAAGTGCATTTTGCTTTTTAAAATATTACTCTTCATGCCGGGGATTTAGCTCATTGGTGCTGGTGCCTGCCTCACAAGCACAAGGTCCTGAGGTCAATCCCCAGTACCAAAATAAAAATTATTATTTGTTATATATGCTAAAATATTTTCTCCAAGTCAGATATCTTTCTTTTTGTTAAAGAAACACTTTATCTGTTGGTCTTTTTTTTTTTTTTTTGTGGTACTGGAGATAGAACTCAGGACCTTGCGTCTTTGAGGCAGGTGGTAGAACCACTGAGCTAAATCCCTGGTCCCTACTTTCCCTCACTTTTAATGTCATTAAAGCAGTCTATTTTTCTGGAGTATTTTTACAATTTTGTTTTCCATATTTGAAAATTTGTTATAGCTGCAATTTAAGCACGACTTGAGAGGGATATCTGATTTATCAATTTTTAGCCTAGTTATCTCAAGATCATGTAACTAACTCATCCCCTTCCAGCTGATTTGTAGTTATTTTAGAGTCTATTTCTGAATTTTATGTATTTTTGTATCTTAATGTCAAATTATTACAGTATATTTTGTTCTTTTACAGTTAAGTTCTTTACAATTATCATTTTAAAAATTTACTTTATTATTCTTGTATCTTTACTCTTTCAAATACATTTTAGAATTAGCATGTAAATTTTTTAAAAATCCTACTGTGAATGTGACTGAAATAACCTGACATAATTGATTTATTTCAAGAGAAATGACAAATTTACAGCATTCTCTTCCTGAAATATGGTGGCTATCAAAGCATATATAAATCTTCTTTAATGTTCTTTATTGAAGATCATTGTCTGCATACAAATGTTACTCATTTCAATCCTAAAGTATTATGTTTTGGTGAGTATGAATGAGACCTAAGTTTTAATTAAAATTAGAGTTTTAAAGTAGCTTGGTAAAGTATGAATATGGTTTGGCTTATCTTTTAATTACATATTAACAGGGGAGATCTAAGATACGTCATACACATATACATGTACGTATATGTATGTACATTATTGAAAAATCTACTCCACGTAGTAAATGTTTAAGATCATGTGCAAAACGATGAGTCCAAGCTAATTCTTTGCTCTAAAAATCACTGAAAAATGATTTTCATTACTTTGTGTTTGGGTGGTAATTCAGGCTTTCTGGTATTGACTTCTATTCCATGAAATGTGTAGTAGAACACTGTATATATAATTTTGTTTTTAAAACATACAAAAGATCAGAATGCCTATAATTATTTTTTTACATAACAAAAAGCAAGAATAACCTGAGTAGGGGATTTACTGTTTACTTACTCCAGCAGTAGAGGGATGAGATGGGAGAGAAGATAATGTTGTCTGTTGGGTAGCAACTGAAGATGATCTTTGTTGTGGGAGCTCTGTGGCTTTTACATGTTTGTAAGCTGCAGAGAAGGAAATAATCGTTTGTAAAAAGACAGTGTGTGGACATTTACTCTGTTTAGTAGTTGAGCAATAGTGTCTTTCTACCAATTTCATGATTTCTGAAAAGGGAGAATCTAATCGAAAATTACACATCTAACTTCACTAAAATCTCCACAATTCTAGTTTCTTATTAGAAGATCAAAAATTTTTTAAAAATCAAAGTATCTCTTAGTAACAGTGAACTGACTACAACAGCCAAAGTCAGTACTGTCTACTTGTACCTGTTGAAGTTGTAGAGAAAAAACCACCTCCCTCACTGTAGGTGGACAGGTGGTGGTCGGCAGCTTCTGAGTGCTCAGACTTCTCCTCCCCACCACTGATACTCAGTGCACTGGCAGATCGTGACTGCTCCCGGCTCCGGCGCTGAGCTTGGACTGGTAGAAGTGTGATGATTGGGAGAGATGTAGCAGAGATCAAAGTCCTATAGATTTATGGCAGTAATTCCTAACAGCAATTGAGTCTGGGTTGTTGTTGTTGGTGTGTATGTGTGTATGTATTTAACCAGTAATAGTTTAAAGTAGTTTTTCATGGATTAAACTGTCACAACTCTATTATTGTTAGTATTAGTATTATTTTTGAGAGGGTGGTCTCACTATGTTACCCAGGCTGGCCTCAAACTTGAGATCCTCTCACCTTAGCCTCCTGAGTAGCTAGGATCAGAGGCATGTGCCACCATGCCTAGGTTCCCTTACAACTCTTCTGATGTGTACTTTTCATCTTTATTTTATAGATGAGAGCCAAAGGTCATGTAGCAGTTAAGTGATCCAGTCAGATTTCAAATCCAAGAATATGTTCTTAACTATTACTCCTCCTCACAAGTTTGTCCATTTTCCTGGCTCACTGAAGTAAACAGAGAGTAATGACCTTCAAATTTCATCTTCAACTTTCCCAGAGAATCCTAACTCCCAGATGGAGTTGCTTTCTCTGTATTCCTATAATACTGTGGGCAGATCTTTAAAATTATGCATGTCAGCATACATATACTAGGATTTACTAGCCTCACTTCATCAGTAAACTACAGTATAAATCCTTTAATGAATGGAACTACTTATTATTCTGTTTTCTAACATGAACAGAAAGTATAAAGACATGGAGGTGCTCTGGTGAGTGAATAGTTTTCCTTTACAGAAGAGAGTTCAGAAAGTACTTAAGGGTCAAATCCATTCCCTTCTTTTTGCCTAGGTATTTTATTTTCATCATTTCTCTCTATAGAAATGCTAATAACAGGGCCTGACGAAGATATGAATTAAGTCAATGAATCAAACTCTTTTCCTAACTTGGACTTGTCTGGAAAATCTTTTCTTGACTAGTTTGACCCACTAATCAATGGGTAACTCAGAAAATTAAAAATCCTGAGCCAGATATGGCAGCACATGCCTGTAATTCTAGCTACATGGAGGCTGAGGCAGGAGGATCACAAGTTTAGTGAGATCCTGTCAAAAGTAAAATGTAAAAAGGCTGAGGATATAGCTTAGAGTCCCCTGTGTTCAATCCTCAATACCACAAGAACACAAAAACAAAAAACCTCTGAAGGGAAGGAACTTCAGAACTTAAAAGTCAGTGTCTACGTCACTAAACGGAGATGTGAATGTTGTAAGCCTTTTGTTGCAGAACATACCATTAATCAGGTGTAAGCTTCGGGACTGAATATTGTCTTCTGCTGGATCATAGTCAAAAACTGAACCAGGATTAGTCCGCCAGACACGTAAGCCTGAAAGAAATACTGGTGATCAGAACAGATGTTCTTGCGTGCTTTCAGCAACGTGAAAACCAAAGCATGATTCAAACAACCACAGGAGGACTGACTCACTCTTACTCAGCTTAGGTTTAGGTCCTTTTCTCTGAAGAGGAGATAAGCTTAAAAATACAGCAAAAGAGACCTCAGTTTTGCAAACTATGAGATAACAGGTGCTTCCTTTCACAAATAATGAAAACAGATTGAGGTCCCTTGCACTTTGACTTAACGTACTGAAGGTCACTTTTGTATTCAGTTACCTGTAACAGTCTCTTGATCCTGGTCATTCCGCTTTTGTTCCATTTCTACCACTTTTCTCTGAATACCTCGGTAATTAATGTCACTGAAGTCCTGCGTGTTCTTCTTTACTCGTTCGGTGATAGGATCTGTCACCACTGGCGTGAAGCAACCTTTGTGTTTTTCAAAGTCTTCATGGTATTTCACCTGAAATAGGAATTTACTTAATAAAAATAAGACGGTGTGACCATTTTCCTTTTCACATATCCTAAAAGGCTAGCCATCCCACCCTAAAGAACTCCTGACTCACTGTTGAGATGTGCCGTTGGGTTTCCCTCACACGTCTCATCTCAGGGGTATCTAGGACATAGGCGGCTTTGCCTTGTATTTGTTTCCTGAAGCTGTCAGAATAAAGAACCTATGGAGGAGAGAACATGAATGAATACAGAACATGGTGGTGCCCTACTTCTGAAGGCGCAGAGCTTTCCAACAGATGGAGATGAGAGAAGCTGGCCAGGGAAACAAGTCAGCTGACATGGCCAAGGGAGACACGTGACTAACAGTGGACCAGGTTAACTTGAGGATAGGTAGTGCTGGCACCAGAAAAGAAAGGACTTGTTTTGACTTTGAAAATGGAATGCCCATTTTCAAAGAAGGGGAACAGTATAATTTTGAAAAAGAAGTGGCCTCTTGAATTTTCTAGAAATTGTAGTACCAGCACTGGTATGTCCAATGATATTTGGCACTAAATCTGATACTGAGGAGAGTTGAAAGAACTATCCTTTAAAACAAATAATCATTGTTCTTAGGTAATATTCACTTTGCATAAACCAATATGCTAATACAGAAACCCAAGTCCTCTCAAAATAACAAAGCCAGCAAATAACATCTATTTCCAAGTATTACCCATTGCATAATACCTTAAAAATAATGGAGAGCAGAAGACTGAGGATGTTAGGGAGTCAATTTGTTATAGTTGGTTATGAAAAACTACCTTAAAGAAAAGGAGGAAAAACGTTGGCAATTAACTTATGTTTAGTATGGTCATTTGGAATCGAAAAGCACAGTTAATTTTAGTGTAAATTTTCAGTTGAAGAAAGTGCACATAAATTTTATGGTGTTAAAACATTTTCCACGATATTGCATTTCTCTTTTTAAATTTTAGTGTGTTTTTCAGATGAACACAAAAGACATGTTTTCATGATATTAAAATGTTATTTTCCAAGTTGTTGCACTATTCCTTTTTAATCCTAGAAAATACCGAGCTAATGTTTTCTTGGTTTCGCTTAGCTCTCTCCATCTCTGGAGTAACAGGTGTCGAAGTTGCTTTTCTCATATTTTCTTTGTACAATACCTAGGGGAGCCAAGAGAGCATCCAGACATCAGAGGGCAGAAAACCAGTTCCAAGAAGCCATCATTTCATTAGTGTCATGGCTCAATTATAGCACACTCTAAGAAACACCTCAGGAAGAGAAAGCCATTAAAATGTTATGGTAGAAAGCAAAAGATAAGTAAAAACTGTGAGCTAGAGGGATTGGTTTATTGTTTTTAAGTGGATAAGGAGAGTTTTTAAAGATACAAAGAATTTTGGAAACACTGTGAGACAAATTAGTGGTATAACTATGATGGCCAGTCTTGTTAAACTTTTTTCTTGTTAAAATTTTAATGACTCATTTTCCCTGTCTAAAATACCGAGCTAAAATTTTCTTGATTGCGTTTGACTCTTTCCATTTCAGGAGTAATGGGTGTGGGGGTTGCTTTCCCCATGTTCTCTTTGTATAGCACCTGTGAGATACAAAGTTGTACCCAAAAATCAATGAGAGGCAATATTCACTACCAAATATAATGCAGTGGGGTGAGGGGACACACTAGGTATAATCTATTACTATTAGTAAGAATAGCTCTTAAGAAGAAAGCTTTAAAAATAGTCAGTGGCAGCAGTAAATGTAGTACGATATTTCAAGGTGATTCAAATGAAAGCAGTATTTTGTTTTTAACTTTGGATGGGGTTAGGAGCAGGCAAACTGCATGGGGTTATTTTGTGAAATTAAAAGCACTTTCATTTCTCAAAGACAATACCGAGCTAATGTTTTCTTGATTGCGTTTGACTCTTTGCATCTCTGGAGTGACTGGGGTTGGGGTGGCTTTCCCCACATTTTCTTTGTACAAAACCTGTACAAGTCCAATGAGACCAAAAAGAGGGGGGAAAATACAGTTACCAAAACAAGAAATGGAACCAGTAACCTTTGATGAGGCCCACAGCACCAACCATTTAGGCAATAAGGTTATATTACAAGTTATATATTTGCAAAGGAAGTTGAGTATAGTTAAGCAAGACATGTTTCCAAAGTAGGAACTTTCCCTGAAGGTTTTGCAGATTCTAAGAGAGAGCTGTTGTATTCCCAGAAAGGAGACAGGACCACCATCATCTTACCCCTAGTAAATCAAAGTCAAGCCCCTGCAGAGTTATCCAAAAAGGACTTATAGGAATGGACTTAAACGACATTGAAGTTAAGTGGCTCCAATGAACAGCTGGTTACTGGACCTTTCCACAGCACTTAAACTATTATAGACCTGGGTAAACTACAGATCCTGAGATAAGGCAAAGAGCTTCTCTTACCCCCACCCTTTCTATCCTCTGTCTCTTGTATTTGTTTAGTACATCACACTTACCCATTAAGAACATCACAATCAAGGCAAATCAATAGGAAGCATAGTAAATGCATCATGATAAATCCTCAGTCTCAGTGTTTCTCCCTCTAGAGAACCCAGGAGGTTTGGAAAATGCCACTTAAGGGAAATAATTCTGTTCCAGCAGAAGTTCTCATAGCAGAGTCTCTGGATAGTCATGTCACTGTCATCTGAAAACTTACAAGAATTCTGGCCCCACAGAGACATACAGAAAATGAAGCTGGGGGTAGGACCCAGAAATCTTGTTTAACAAACCCTCTATCAATAATGGCAAACCCTTTAGAGCTTTCAATGATACAGTCCACTGCGGCACGTGTGCCATAGGTTCACCACGCCTGCTTGCACACTCATGTTTTAAAAGGACTCAAGGACTGGGAAGCCTGTGGACAGTGTAAATGCTGAGCAACACAAAGTTGTTCACTGCTGAAACCTAAAGGTCCCACACAAACCCCAACTGCTTGGTAAATGAGTAGATGTTCATATGATCTTAGAGGATACACTTAGAGGAAATGGATTACTAAAATTAACATTTAAAGAGCATAAAAAAGACCCCCCAAATTAAGATGGTAACACAAAAGACCTCTCTGCGCCACTTTCCTGCTAAACTGACAATTGCCAAAACCACTACTGGCTAATTTATGTCATTAACCTTGAAGGAAGGGATCAGGAGTGATTTTAACCAAGGTCTCTTTGTACAAATCTGACAGGTAGGGTTGGCTGAAGATGTAGTTCAGTGTTGGAGTGCATGCTTAGCCATGGGCTCAACCCTTGACACCGCACAAAGAAAAACCAAATCTGATAGGTTGAATTAGAACCTAAAGTCATCAACATCAAAGCACAATGAAGTCATGATTCTAATATTTAATAGAGAGTCTGATGATACTTACTACACCAACCCACATGGTCTACCACAAATTTCATGAGTATGTGAAGCAAAGAGACCTTGGGTATAGTGGAGAGTAAATGTGGGGAAAGATGAGCGAAAGATGTTTTGTAGGGTAATGTTATTTCTTAATATTAGAACTATAAATTATGGATTAAAGCAATTTTCTTATTAGAAGGTTAAGGCTAGGACTAGTCCTACGGGAAAAAATAAATGTGGTAAAGAAATTCACAAATTTAAGTTGTCTTTAAAAATTAGAATTAATATGAATTATTTTAAATCATTAAAGTAGTTTTAAAAAATCATTAAGGAAGTATTATTTTTTTCTTTTCTTGCCAGAGTACCGAGCTAATATTTTCTTGATTGTGTTTGACTCTCTCCATCTCTGGAGTGACAGGTAAAGGGGTTCCCTTGCCCATGTTTTCCTTGTATAGCACCTGTGTGATGAGAGAGCATCAGAGAAACAGCCGTAAGTGACACTGCATTTGTCAAGAGGTTCTGAAGGTGAGGCCAATTTCCTCGTTACAAAACGGCACAGTCCAGGGAGTCAGAAGTTACATGCTGACGAGATGCCACAAGTTATTGAATGGAAGCTGTGACTGCACTGGGGAATCTGCACCCTCTATGGAAGCAAGGACCTCAGCTGCTGGGTTACTGGAGTTACCCTCGTTATTTTTTTTTCATTTTTATAAGCATGTTGACTCCTAAATAATCCTAGGGATTTGAGACAGTTAGAATTTGGTTTTGTTATTCACACAAACTAGAACACTCATTTCTTTTTTAAAATGAAGTAAAAATCAAAATTAACCGTAATACAGAAGCAAGACACTTTGTCCTTGTGAAAGATAAGATACATTAGAAGCAAAGGAAAGCATGAGGGCTTAACAAAGAAAATGAATAAGTACTAAGGATTTGTTTAATTCTGAGGTTAAGTGACATCTTTTCCCCCCTTCTTTCCAAAATACCGAGCTAATATTTTCTTGAGTGTGTCTGACTCTCTCCATCTCAGGAGTGATGGCAATTGGAATTCCTGTCCCCAAGTTCTCTTTGTATAGCACCTGTGTGATAAGAAAGCATTCAGAATGAAAAGAACAGTCAGCCAGTCACGGTCCCCTTCCGGAACAGTTGGGAGTGGGAGGAGAGGAAGGAAGAGGAGGAGTAAGAGGAAGGGATTTGCAGAAGATGTTAGGTTCAACCTGTATAAGCCAAAGACAAAAGCAAAAGTATGCAGGAAAGAGCAAAACTAAGAAATAGGAGAAGAAAATTTGTTATTTTTGTTGTTTGAACTAATCTCTGTAGCACCAAACAATGAAGAACTCCATAAAAGGGAGAAATTAGTCCTCAGAAATTAGTCATCCTTGTTATATGAGGAGGGAAAAATAGAAACAGATAAGAGGCAGGAGCAAAACCAAGGAAGTTATTTTTTATTTGAAAATGCTATTAATAAATCATATAAAGATATTTGGATATTTTATAAATATTATATATACAAAGATACTACATATAATCTTTTGTTGACTTTCAAATGAAGTCAAAGTATTTAATTTTTGGTTTGGGTAAACATATAAGGGAGAATTATTTTTAATGCAAATAGATAATAATGGCAAGATGCTAAAAAAGGAATCTTCAATATATCTGTACAAGTACCAACAGCAACACAGATGGTTAGAACAGGAAATGAGGCCAACAGTCAGCCCAACAGAATAGATTTTTTGTTTGTTTGGTACCAGGGATCTAACTTGGGACCTTGTGGCTGCGAGACTGGTGGTGGCACCACTGAGCAGAGTAGATCCAGATCAAACTTGCTAAAGCAAGGTACATGTGTACACTTATGTTTTTGAAAGCTGGAGTCATATCTTGGATACTTTAAAAATTAAGTCAAATTATTATATTGTTTAACCAAAGTGGGGAAACATTGATAAGAAATGGTATTAAACTGGGAACAAGATGAGTCAAAATTTTTATTGGGATAAGTTGATTAGATTTTTAAAGTCTAGCCATTAATCTTTTTAAAAGCATTTTAAAAGTAGTTAAAGGGACTTTAAAAAAATTTTCAAATACCGAACTAAAATTTTCTTGATTGTGTTTGACTCTCTCCATCTCTGGAGTGATGGGGAGGGCAATGCCTTTCCCGAGGTTCTCTTTATACAACACCTGTATAACACAAAGAAAGCATCTGCAAAGAATACGAGCAGTCAAAACAGCACCCCTGTCTGTCTTGTGGGGAAACTAGTTAGAGACTACAGTCATTGAGAAAGATCCACCAAGTCCATCACTCTGTGCAGGTACAGCGCCGGGCGAGAACATGCTTAAGTGGCAGTCTACGGATGCTTGTCTTTTTACTCTAACCTGCATAGAAATTTTTACTGCCTATGTTAGGAATTAAGGGGAAAATACAAATAGTTTTATAACAGTACTAAAATGCTCTGTGTATAACAGAAGTACTATTTTAAAATTAGATCAGCAAATGGTTTTCCTACTCAGAATGTTTGTCTTACAATATAACAGATATTTAAAACTCCAGACCAAATCTATGCACTATGGTAAAATCGGCCTTTGCTGAGATTGCACAGATAGTAAAATCTAAAAGTCACTGTTTTAATATATGGTGTTTCCCACAGTATCTAAAATGCCTGTGCACCACTGGGCAGTACTGCCTAATGCAAGCTGTGTTAACAATTAACACAAATGGTTACTTAAAGAAGAAAGAAAATGTGGCCCAGAACCATCTGGATTATTATCCTCAAACAGATTCAAGTCATAATATACTTACTTTCATATAGAAGGAACAATTAAAACTTAATATTAAGAAATGATACAAGTCTTTCAAAAAAGGAATCATTATCATCATCATCATCAATCATCCCAGAGGGACAAAAGTGAATAAAACATTCCGAATGACATAATACCTTACACTGAATATTAACAAAAAGTGGAAGGTTGTTAGAGAACAGTAAGTAAAAACAAGACAAAACAAAGACAGTGGGACCAAAGGAAGTTGCTATTCTAATCCTGGGAAAGAATCAAACTTTAGAGAGTATTTAAAATGACAAAAGCACTTTTGATTACTCTTCCACCTCTAAAAGTAAATCCAAATCGTAACACTTTATTTTCATCTCAGGGATAAGTTAACCTAAGATTTTTATAGACAAATACCACAGACTATATGGGTATCATAGAATTTTTCAGGAACAATTACTAGAACAGAAAATAACATTTTTTGGGGGGCACTGGGGATTGAACTCTGGACCTCACTCTTGCCAGGCAGGTGCTGTGCTGCTGAGCTAAATCCCCAGCTTGACAGAAAATAACATTTAAGATAAATATATGATCCTCTTCCCAAATTTTATTAAAAGTCAGAGGACTTGGATTTCTATTTGTGAATTTCTTATTCAGGATGTGTCAAAATAAGAGTACTTTGGGTCCCAAATAGCATTTAAGTAATTTTCTAGGTGTTACTGTTTATTTGAATAGGATATATGTTAAAGGGACCCTGTTCCCAAGCAAGAGCCAATTGTTTTACATGTAGCCTTGAGATCTGTATTTTTCTTGCAACACTAACCTCAGAACACAGATAAAGAGTTTCAACTAAAGAAGAACTTCAACATTTGGGTTGTTTTGGGGAATCAATTAGTTTCAAAAGTCCCAACAGAACATAAAGGTGAGAAGAGAAGGAAAGGAATGAATTAAAACTTTTAGGGGACAATTATAGGAAGTATATAACATTAGGTCAAATGGTGAGTAAAATATTCAGAAAACAGAAGAATTCAGTTGGTCAGATTTTTTAAAAAATGTTAAATTGATTATTATAAAGGTTCAAGTAGATGTTTTGTTTCATAGAAATTATTATTTTTAATATGGAATTAAAAGGAACTTTTTCCCAAATACCGAGCTAAAGTTTTCTTGATTGCGTTTGACTCGCTCCATCTCAGGAGTGACAGGAAGGGGGGTCCCTTTGCTCAAATTCTCTTTGTACAATATCTGTGTGCACAAAACCAACAATGAAATCAGCCTGTACCATTGTGTAGGTAGACTTGATCTTTAAAACATTGCAAGAAGTATTTTTGTTTGTTTTTACAATGAAGTAAAACAGACATGACTTTAAAACACAGAGCAGCTGTAGCCCACTGTTGGACATTGAGTCGCATGCTGTTCAGTAGCAGACTCTGAGTAGCATCCGTGTGTTCACAGTGCCAGCCTGCAGGTAGGTCTGGCTGGACACACGTATGCTTTCTCTCAAAGACAGAAAGATGAGCACTTAAGCTGGTGGAAATTAACGTGTAATGAATTGTTGGTAACACTAAATTACAAAATAAATAAGTTTGAGGAAACTAAGTAAATATTAGCTTAGTTTTCTGATCCAGAATATATCCCACAGGAAAACCTTTTGATATCTTTCATGGTATACAAAAAAAGAGAAACAAGTAGCTAAGAAAAGTAAATTTGTATTACTGAGTTACTGTGAATTGCTATGTTGTCTTTGAATGAAAATATTTTAGAATCAGTTTTTAAAGAAAAGCTGCAAACACAAAATACAAATAGCCACAGTAAATACAAATAAAATTCTAATTAGCATTGTCCTTTTGAAGAGATGTTAGATTTTATTTTTGACTTAGGCAACACCGTTAGAGACACTTATCATTATTAAAGTGGAATTGGAGGAAGGAAACACTGAGTATTAATAGGTATTTAAGGGAAATGATAAATACCTACATTTTAGAGAAAATGGTTAAAATTTCACAACAGAACTAAAGTAAAAACTAAATTAGATTTGAGGTGAAAACAGGTAATATTTGGTATCATTCCTTTCAGTATATGAATTTAGTTAATGTATAATGTGTTAAAATATTAAATATTATTTTAATAAGAGCAAAGGGATTTTTTTGGTCCCCTAAGAAATACCGAGCTAAAGTTCTCTTGATTGCGTTTGACTCTCTCCATCTCTGGAGTGATAGCTGTGGGGGTTCCTTTTCCCAAATTTTCTTTGTACAAAACCTGTGAGATACAAGAAAGTACCCAGAAGACATTCAAAACAAGTGCAAAGCCTGAAGAAAGGGATAGATTTGAGTGTAGATATGGAAGGAGTTTTTTAGTAAGCAATATTAAGTAAGTATAATACTTTTGGCTTTGTACATCACGATTTTAAGATAAACTCTACAGTGCTAATTCTGGGAATTGGAAAGTACAACAGACAGCACTGAGTTATAAGATGTGAGTATGCTGATGAGGACCTTGTGTTAATGCACATTGCAGTATTCCAGGCCTAAGATTCACTAGTCGGTGGCTGAAAATGTTAAAGTGAAATAAGAGAAGGGGTCATTCTGTATTAAATCAGTTGGTCTGGGTCACATACACACACACACACACACACACACACACAGAATTTGTTGTTAGATGTTACTTGTAAAAAAAGAATGAGGGTTATTCTAGTAGATTTTTAAAATGGGAAATAGTTTCTTATTGATATATTTGTAAATACCGAGCTAAAGTTTTCTTGATTGCGTTTGACTCTTTCAATCTCTGGAGTCACAGTGGTTGGAATGCCTGTTCCCAAGTTTTCTTTGTACATAACCTGTAGAAAATAATTAGAATGCCCCAAAGGCAAAATAAAATGAATTATTTAGCTTTAAAGCCACATGTAGGCTGTTTGGTGAGTACTCATTAAAAAACAATCTAGTTTTTAAATATAACGCCCAAGGACTAAAGAAAATAAATTCCATAGATATTTGTGTTTTCTTCAAAGTAGTCACTTTACCACCTTGAAAACTAGGTACTGGGCTAGGGATTTGGCTCAATGGTTCTGCCATCTGCTTTGCAAGCACAAGGGCCCGAGTTCGATCCCCGGTACCAAAAAAAAAAAAAAAAAAAAAAAAAAAAAAAAAAAAAAAAAAAAAAAAAAAAGAAAACTAGGTACTAAATTACATTTTCTATACTCAGTATTTACTGCATTCCTAAGATGCACTAAACAGTGATAATAGATGTAACAGTGCACCTAGTGTTAGTGCCACGAGTATAATAGATTTGTACTCAATAAATAGGTTGGTTGGTTGTTTTGGTACTGGGGATCAAACTCAGGACCTTGTACTTGTGAGGCAGACGTGGCACCACTGAGCTAAATGCCCAGCCCTAGGTTGCTTGTTTTGATTCTGTAATACTTTTTTTTTTTTTTTTTTTTTGAGTCAGGGTCTTGCTATGTAGTTTAGGCTGGCCTTGAACTCACTATGTAGCACAGGCTGGCCTCCAACTCTTGGCAGTCCTCCCTCTGCCTCACGAGCGCTAGGATAATAGGTGTGCCCCAGCTATTTTTAAAAAATTTTTTTGTTTTTTTGAGATAGGATCTCACTATGTAGTTGAGACTGACCTGGAACTCACTATGTAGCCCAGGCTGGTCTTGAACTCACAGCGATCCTCCTGCCTCAGCCTCCTGAGTGCTGGGATTATAGGCATGTGCCACTACGCCCAGCCTAGAAATCCATATTTTTAGGTGGTAGGGTCAAAGGACTATAACTTTTAATGAAGTAAGGAACTTCCACTTTCTGAGCCACTTGCCTCCCTCCCCGCTTAATGTTAAAATCGTTTAGCTAAAGGAATGACTTCATTTTTAAATAAAATTTTAATATAAAATATAAATTTTTAAATAAATAGACTATAGTATACTACTGCACACAGTAGGGAGCAAGGGGAAAAGCCTACTGGGTTGTGTCAGATTAATTTCTAGACTCGGCAACAAGCAAGCATGTGACATCTTTGTTTTGCTAGGAAGTGTTCAGGAATCTTTGAAAAGCTACCATCTTGGTAACAAAATCATGTTTCTTTAGCCTTTACCAAACAAGGAAGCAAGACTGTATTGAGCAAAAGAACAAAACAGAGAAGGGGAAGAAGTTGCAATTCAGAACAACATAGGAACCATGGGCTAATTTTCTTAAATTAGTGGACATAAAATTTGAAATGGTTTTGTACCATAGGAAGCCAAAGTATACATAGGGAGTGAACCAGAAATGAGTCCTGAATAGTATGACTGAGGTTTCTTGTCTACTTTTGCAACCTTTAGTGCATCCCTTCAGGACCAAGGAGGATTCACAATGTCCCCAAGGCATGGGAGGCCCTTAGCAGAAGGAAGCAGGGCAGCAGCTGAGAGGTGGGCAGCCACACAAATGCATGCTGAGAGTAGGGGCCACTACCGAGCTAATGTGCTTCTGGGTCTCCTTGACGCGTTTTACTTCAGGCAGGTCAGAGATTGGAGTTCCTTGTCCAATTGCTTCTTTATACTTCACCTATATAAAAATGAGAAAGGAAAGCAATTTTACATTCTGTGTAGTCATTCTTTTCAACATGTACATGTATTTGGTTAGCAGTCCTTACAGCTGTTGTGTATGTGCCCTGAAGACTGAACCTAGGGACTTGTGCACGCTGACCACTCTACCAGCGCCTCTACAGTTTTTAAAGCCAGAATAAATACTGTGAGCTCTATACTTAGTTTGGATGGGGCCACATTCTGATACTGCGTCAGAGGAGAACAGTTCTGAGGAGAGGGAACATTGATCTCTTTGGGGGCAGGAGCAGAGTTTCCTACTTTATCATGGGGAAGACATTGCAAGACCCCCAAGCGAATGCCTAAAACCATGGATAGTACTAACTCATATACTCTGCCTTTCCTATGCACACAGGCAAATTTATGGCCATTTTTTATCTTCGTTAAGTACTTATCATGCACTGTGGCCTAATCTTTTGCTGTTTGAGATGTGATAACAAAACTAACATGAGTTTGTTTTTAAAACAGATTCTCACTATGTTGTCCAGGCTGGTCTGAAACTTGTGGGCTCAAGTGGTCCTCCTGCCTCAGCCTCATAAGTAGCTGGAACTACAGGTTCACACTACCATACCTGGCTAGCATGGATTTCCTTTTCCTTCTCCACAAGTTCACAGGTAGAAGATTCGTTTTACTATAGATCATGACAACCTCAGCATATGAGTTTTTCAATTTCTTAAGAATTTTCACCTTTTCACTTAAAGGAAGTGCATTATAACTTCTCTTTTAGACATGAAAATTGCTAGTTTCACTACTTTTACACTTTAGAGACTTTAGGTAAAATAAGGATTACTTGAACACAATCATTGCCATACAAAGTCAGCTGGTCTCACAATGGGGACAGCTAATGAGGAAAGGTGGTAAATATGATGGAAAGAGGTGATTTGTGCCCAGATGGGAAGCCCCAAGATGTCGTCATGCCTCTCAGAATGGTACACAATTTAAAACTTATTTCTGGATTTTCCCATTGAATAATTTTTTGGATCAGCGTTGAGTGAAGGATAACCGAAACCAGAGAAAAAGAAACTGGCTAAGAGAAAACTACCATATTCCAGAGATTCTATACCCAACACTTTCTTTGTCTAAGGCAGATATATTTTCATACAATAGAAGTTCGACTCTATCATCTTCCACTTCCTCCACAAGCCTCTGCTTTCCATATCTCATCTTTACCTCACAAAAACACCACAGAACTGCACTGAGTATGAGATGACTGAACACTGGCACGTACGCAGGGCTGATGGAGGTACACAGCCACTTGTTTAGAATATCAGCTGTTTCTAGTGACAAAGGTTTTCAGTGTACCTCAGAGGACATTGTAAATTATCGAAGGGAAGCGGAAAATACTGCATCTACTGTGTCATTACCGAGCTAATGTGGTCTTGTGTTTTCTTCACTCTTATCATCTCAGGTGTCTTCCCAACTGCTGTTCCTGGTGAGACATCCTCTTTATACAAAACCTGGGAATTCAGAGTCAGGAAATTCAGAAAGGAAACTAGCAATTCCCGGAGAAAGACTAGACACAGAGCTTCTGAAAACAAGACACTAGATGGTATTCTCAGGCAAAAGCTGGAGAACTGCATCTGAGATCTTCTCCATCAGATGCCAAACATACACCACCAAATCACTTTCCATTCTTGAGATATCTTTGAAGATTATCATACCATATTAACACAGGATGAGAAAAATCAGAACATGTTAATTAACAACAATAAAATCCCTCCCATACGAAACATAAAATCCATTAAAAAATGCAAAGTCAGTTATTTTGGGGAAATAAAAGAAAAAAAAATCACTAAGTCAAAAAGAAATCCATCTTCTTGGAGCAAGACAGCACATGTTACTGCTCTGAGATTAAAGAATATAAAAAAGAAGTTACTTTGTTAGATTTAAATTGTTATTTCAGATGGTCTCTGGAGCAATTAAGTTAGAGTAAAGTATGGGTAATTTTAACAGATAACCAGTAGATTAACTGTGAAGGTTTGATGTTAATTATCTCTTATCAATGTGAAGTTAGTATTTTTTTATAGGAGAATGGAATTATTAGGTTAGCATTAGATGGAAAATAAATAATATACCGAGCTGAAATTCTTTTGATTTTCTTTAACACGTAGTATTTCTGGTGTATCTTGAACAACTGTAATTTTTCCTTTACTGTTTTTAAGGTCACACTGGTATTGCAGCTATGAAGAAAGAGTAAATTATCTTAAGACATCAACATTATTGCATTTATTTTTAATTGTTTTACTTGATAAAGTTAAAATCCTACATTTAAAAAATTATGCCACAATAATCACAGTTTGATGGCCAAAGGAAAATTATTTAATAATTAGTTTATAGAGAAACTGATTTGACCAGGGAGAGGGTTCTGGGGATGGAGCTCAGGGCCTCTCACACATGCTCTACCACTAGCTACATTTAAAAAACTTAAAATGTGTAAAATTAAGTTTTTCCTTTCTTTTTGCCTAGATTTAACTTTGAGAAAAACGGATGTCACCAGTAATGGAAGGTGACAACAGTTTACGTTCAGTAGCAGGAAGCTATCTACTAGTACCAGAGGGCCTTTCCTGCTGTGGCTTTGAACTGAAATGCAATGTAAACCCAGAGCCAGTGCAAGCACATGTGCTCTGGGCAAGGGTGGACTGATGGAGGGGGATGTCCGTGTGTGGCCCCAAAGCACCTTCCTAGCCTGCAGGATCTCAAGTACCAGTGAGCTGTGCCTGAGATTCAATAAAAACGTACAGGGCTGAGCTGGGAATTCAGCTCAGTGGTTCTGTCCCTTGCCTCGCAAGTGCAAGGGCCAGAGTTTGATCCCTCGTACCAAACAAACAAAGAAACCCAAAACAAAACAAAAATAGAATAAACATACAAGGCTGAAGTCCTTTTGGTTCTTCCGAACTCTCTGCATCTCTGGGGTGTCCAAAACAGTCTCATAATACGACATGGACTTCTCTGCATCTTCTTTGTACTTTTTCTGAGAATAGATTCCAAGACATAAGAAAAGTAAAAACACCACAGGGATATGGGCCAGTGGCCCTTTCAACTCAGCAGAGGAAAATTTCTTTACATCTTCTTGAGTGTTTACATTTGGAAAAGAGTGGATTGTGGCCAGCCGTCACATCGCGAACATGCCTGAGTTGGGGAGTGAGGATTGAGAAAGGAAAGAACACTCAAGCCTTAGCGGAGACCAAGAGAAGTCTGATTTATTTCACAGAAACAGCTCCTTTTAAAGGCTCACATCAGCAAGAAGCTTTTAAGGGCACACAACAACAGAAAACACCAAGCAATCCTTTTTGTCTTTATGCAAAGACCGGATTTCCTGACTTTTACCGATAACATCAGATCTTCCGCTAACGAGTTCCTGTTATGGCAGGGTCAAAGAACAAAACAAGCTTAACAAACAGTGTCCTTGAAAAGTAACAAATGTTACATAGATTGTGTTGATGCCTTAACTGTACAGGAAGAAGTTATTTTCCAAATGTCAAACTCCAGAGGGCAATGACTGGGCCCCCACAGTTGATGACTGAGCAGGGAGGAAGAACTTGATGTTTACAGAACATGACTCTGATGCTATAGAAACTGGCCTAGTGGGACTGGAGACTCCACTGATGAAGTGGACCTGGGGTCACTTCTGTTCCTTGGCCCATTGCTTTTCCTTGGGCTTCTCTGACCTGCACTGATGAGTCCTTTAGGGGCTTTGCTGTTCTCCTGGTCACATACACAGCCAATCCCACTGGGAGACTAATGTTCCAGTTATTCTCTACAGGAAGAACACTTATTCTACCTTAGAGCCCTTTTTTCTCCCTTTGTCAGTATATCCTTTCACTTATCCCTCTAGCGTTAATTTAGCTTATTTCCCCCACTTTTCAGGGAAATTTGGGTACATAGGGGTGTGGAGGAAAGAGACAAGCCACTTTTGTAACAGGGCTAAAACAATTCTGTCTTTATCTACATTGTATTATCTATGAACTAAATGTAGTGAAAAATTCAGTCTCAAATACACAGCAGTAGTTTCAAAAACATCTAAGCCTAGATTTGATCTCTCTAACTGGGAGCCAATTAAACCAGAGATTTCTGGAAGAAACAAAGTAGTTCCCCAGGAACACATACTTTGCCCCAGAAAAAGTGGCCTGCATGACTCTTCTTAGTTATCTAAGTATAAAGAAAAGAGTTCTCAATTTCCTAAGAAAAGCATATAAGCTGTCCTCCTTTTCTTTCTCTAAGATTAAGTAAAAGTTGCCTCAATTGTTTTGAATAATGATTTAGACATTGATCATTTCTGAGAGAGGTAATCAATTTGCCCACAGAACTTGAAGGTATTTTTGGAGGAAAGGACCGGACTGTTTCCCCTGGCATTAAGACATATCCAGTATAATATCCTGGATTTGAGTGTGAGCTGAAGCTGCTTGCATTAATCCTCAAGCAAGAGGCTTTTAAAGTTATAAAATACATACTTCCTATGAAATTGAGAAGTAATTTTGTGGAAAACACTGTTCCATCATTCAAAAGTACATACTGTTCTGAACTGCAGAGGAAGTAAACTGCCTGCCATATTTTAGGCCTTGAGGAGCCAGCCACACTGAACACACACCAGCAGAGTAAGTGACCAACCTCACCCCGGGACTGGCTAACCTGCTGTTTTCCTCAAACATTAGGAATGTCAAAAGCAGAGGGTATGGCGGCTACTAAGTCTCTCACAGCTTATAGGATGTTGGCCTCCATGGCTCTCCCATGAATGCAACTTGGTAATTTGAAGCTTGACATTCTACCTCTGAGGAATACCCACCCTCGGCTTATTTTATAGTTTATTTAAAATCTAATACAGAAATTTCAACTCTGACCTAAACCTGCACCATCGAAGTAAATCCATTTTGTTCTACCGGTGAAAATTCTGACTTGAAAACACCTCTGTCGGCATTAGTGGGAGGGCTTTTGTTTTTCATGATTGGGACATATGAGAGATATGCTGAAGGTCCTTACCTGGCTCGAAAGGTTCTTGACTTGTTGGGCATGAATGATCTCTGGAGTATCAACCACAGATGTGAAATTGGCCTTTTCCATTTCGGCTGATTGCTTATACTTAATCTATAAAAGGCACCCAAGAGTTGAGTAAATGTTTCTGAAGTGCAGAACAGTTTGGTTTTTGAGACACAATATCTCTACGTAGCCCAGGTTGGCCTCAGACTCTCAATTCTTCTGCCTCAGCCTTTTGAGTACTGGGACTACAGGTACGCACAGCCACATTTGACCATGCACAATCTTTTTTGGATTAAGAGAATAATATTTGTGTTCTAAAAGTTAACGTTCAATAGACATTTCTTCCTATTGTGTGTATAGCTTTATATGAAAGTGAGATTCAGAAAGAAGCATTTATCTGTTGAAAGACATCTATTTAGGTGTAGTGTTGGGTATGTGTAAGAGAAAGATAACCAACAGATAGTAAGACATGGGTTTTTTACATAAGAGTTGGCAGAATAATAAGTAAGCAAAATACCCATATCAATTATCATTAGACAACATGGATACCTAAAAGATGTGTTTAAAATTTTGGCCTTGAAAGCAGAGGAAGAAAGAACTCCCCAAAATACTCTAAGCATGGAATTCTTGGCACCAAATAAGGAGTGGACTGACTAAAAAGCAGAGCCAGAATGTCAGAGTCTACTCCAGCTTCAAGCAGTGATTTGGTTCCCCAACTTCTGCCATTTATTCTGAAGATTCAGAAAGCAGCCTGGCAGAGTCCCTAGTCCTTTCAGTGGAATGGATTCCACTACACAGATGTTCAAGAATGCACTGTATGTGTTTGACTGTCACTGACAATCAAGATGACAGAGGGACAACACTGTATCCTTATAATCACAACTACTTTCTTGAATGATACACCTGGGATAGAAACACTGACCTGACTGGCAATATCAGTAGCATTCTTGGCACGCATAAAATCTGGAGTTTCATTAGCCATGGCATTCAGGCCCCTTCCTTTGACTTCTAGTTCCAGGTCTCGCTTATATTCTTTCTATAGATGCATTATTAAAAAGAAAAAAAAAGTCACTTAACGTCTAGTAGGTGGTAACTGACCAGAGTGACTGTGAAATATAAATCTATATAACAAACCACCTCAGTTGTCACAGGTAGTGTCTGTCTGAGCATTACATTCAGTTTCATGAAATAGGATGGAGTGGTGAAAAGCTACTGTAAGAAAATGCCCTATGTATTTCAGTCAACACAGCTCCTCCTTTTGAACGCCTCTATCACTCTCTACTTAAGAAAGTTAAATAGAAAATTTTAAATCTGGTTTGTTATATAACTAGGATTAAATTTAGATATATACCACTTCATGCTGTGTTTTAATTTAAATAAGCACATCAAATATATCAAGGTTAAATAAAAATATTAGATAAATAATTAGTTATAACAACCATTCATCAGAAATTGACATATTTTATTTAATGGTTAATAATGCTGGATATAGAATTTGCTATTCAAAAAGCTTTATCTCTTTCTGGATATGTGTCTTTTGGTGCAATTCGAGTAAGAAAAGATATTCTATTACTTATGTGCATGTGGTTGTCTGTGGTCTTACCTCATTGAGAATTTGAGTGGCATTCTTTGCTCGTACCATGTCAGGAGTATCTTCCATTTCAGTGAGACCCTTTCCACGGATGCTTTCCTCTAGGTCTTTCCTGTACTCTCGCTATATCACAAAGTAAAAGTAACAGTACTGACAAGAAAGCCTAAGTTGTTCTCTTAGGTGAATAGTGAAAACAAAAACAAAACAGAAAACAACCCTTCCCATTTTTAACAGCTCACTGTTAAGATATAGTCAGAGGTGGGGTATAAGCTTCATCAGTTAATATTAAATATCAAATAAAAGAGTAGGAATTAATAGAAGGGTAAAGTAAGCATATTTTCACTAGGTATTCCATAAGAAATTAGAAGATTTATCAGGGTAACAGATTAGGTGGTAGCACCAAACACATGTGAACTCAACCTGAAACTTGCAGTTAGGTGGTGAGGAAAATGGCAGCGGGAATACATTGGTGAGTGTCATTAGTGCAATTATTTGGATGAAGAGGGAAAGAAAAGACCAAGCGGCCACTACCTCGCTTGCTATTTTGGTTGCATATTTGACATGTAATAAAGCTGGCGTGACTTCCAGGCCCGTTAGGTTTCTGCCTTTAATGGACTCTTCATAATCTTTCCTATATTCTTTCTAATGTGAGTAGGAAGAAAAGACAAGTTAAAAAAATCTTTTTTTATAGTTTTAGGAAGAAAAAAAATCTCAATATGGCCTCTTAAGACAAAGTTCTAATGGGCACACATTTGACACTTGTCTGATTGTCCTGGAAATATTTTGCCTACAACAGCCCTGAGGAAGCTGAGGTTGAGAATCTTCTTTGGGCCTCAGATTTTTTTTAAACCTTAATAGGATTTTAAATTAACAGAAGAGTTGTAAGTAAAAGAATGCCCACAGCTTCTTTACTTGGATCCACCACTAGTTTGAAATGATTTTAAGCTTTTAAGCTCCAAAACTGGTACTTTTGTCAAGAACCATTTATCTATATAGTTGCAAATAGGTCCCCATGGAGAAGAGGCAAACAAATTCCAAATAAGCCTGTTTCCAAAGAAACAGACTTTCTAAGATTCAAAATAAGATCTCATTCCTCTCTGCTTGAGGTTAAAAATGAAAAAAAAAGTTTTTAATGCCTCCACTAGAAAAGGAAATATGACACCTTGATTTTTAATTTTCTGGGGTCTTGATATATGTCTTGATTACTGATCCCGTTTTGACTTGGGGCATCCTACCAAGAACAGACAGCATTTCAAAATGAATGATACATCTGCATAGAGGGAACTTTTCATTTATCAAAGAAAAATTAAAATTATATTCTATATAATTTTTTCAGTGCTAAGTAGTTTGCTGTGTTTTTATTTTATGAAAATGGCTGTTAAAATAAATCATAAATGATAAGTATCTACTATTTAGAACATTTTTTTTTTTTTTTGGTGCCGGGGATCAAACTCAGGTCCTTGTGCTTGCAAGGCAGGCAGCAGAACCACTGAGCTAAATCCCGGCCCTAGAACACTTTTTAATAACACAACTGAGGGATTTCTGTAATGAAAAAGATTTTAGTATTCGCATGTTAAAAAGTTCTAGCCTTACCACTTTTGGAACATCAGGAGGCTGGATGCATTTGTTGGCAGTCTGTTCAGTAGTGTAATGATATCATCGATGTGTGATGTGTTTTTGCAGAACTTACCCCACTCTGCATCTGCTGAGATTCCTTGGCAGTGATGTAGGTTGGTGTTTCAAAGTCCAACATGGGCTTTCCTCGTTCCTTTTCATATTTTTCTTTGTATTTCACCTAGCAATGAAAAGCTTTGTTAGACACTTCTTTTCTGGTGGTTTTTAGTCAGAGACCAGGTTAAGGACAGTACTTTTGAAATGATTCATTATTGGGTCATCTCATTGTCACTTCCGTTTATGGCTGTCTTTCAGGTACAGGAGCTTTCTGTGGGTTGTGGTGGAGAGATATAATCAGGATGTAGATTCAATTCAAGGAGACAAAGAACCACTGACAAGAATCAGCTGAAAGAAATATTGATGCAAAGAAATACATGGAAGAGAGTGTACATACTACATACTTAAGGCTGGAGAAGGTTTAATGTGTAAATGCTAACACTTTAACATATTTAGTCAGTATTTCTGATTTTTAAAAATTTCCATTTTTATTTCACACGAACTTTTAGAGACCTGGGGTTTTGACTGACTAGATAGCATGCAGCTTTATTTATAAATAAACAATTCTTTGGGTCATAATGGATCAAATATTTCATCCAGCCCACATGTACTGGTATAGAAATGAAGCTAGTTTACATGTTTTTGTTTTGTTTTGTTTTGTTTTGTTTTGTTTGTTTTTTGAGACAGGGTCTCACTGTGTAGTTGAGGCTACCCTGGAATTCACTTATGTAGCCCAGGCTGGTCTAGAACTCACAGTGATCCTCTTGCCTCAGCCTCCCGAGTGCCGGGATTACAGGCGTGCGCCACCACGCCTGGCTACTAGTTTACATGTTGACTGAACTGTTAATAAACCTGACGCTCAGTCCTATTTTACAAATATAATTTCCTCATAACATGTGATTAGAAATGGGGGAGCCACGTGAATGCTCATATTTCCGAGGGGACAAACTGAAAGGGAAGCAAAGGCCTTTGTTCACACAGCACCTGAAGGGCATTGCTCGAATCTCAGCTCTCTTGGTTGTAGCAAGACTTCAGAATAGAGGCGTGGGGGTACGTGCTGCTTTATGCAGGGCATTCCTAGTAATCTATCTACCTAGTGACTAACCAAACGGGACCTCAGTAACGGAGAATTTGTGATCCAGAGGTCATATGATAACAAGTTCTTTCCTCTGAAGATTATTTGACAAATTTAATAATTTCTTAAATATCTAGAGATTCCTTCAGTGGTAGATCTGAACATGTCACCTCTCTTGTTCAAACCTTCCTAAGACTCCCTGTCTTTCTTGAAGGCTTCCTATTCTGAGACGAAGACCAAAGAAGATATGGGAGTTCCTGGGAGGGGTTTGTCTCTCTTGTAACTCTCTCTTCATGCTTCCAGCCGTGTTATAAACTGAATAACACATTGCACGTGTATATTTCTCCACAAGAGATAAATGACATTACCATATATTACAACATACTTCAAGACATTTCTAAATTCAAAGCCCTCTCTCCTTGTGCAGTGTTTTCAAGCATATAAGAGAAAGACCATATGCAAAATAGAAGATGAAGTAGGGAGATCTTTTTCAAATGGATAGGAGAACACATGATGGAGGTAGGGAGGGTAGGGAGGGAAAAGAATGAAAAAGATGATTAAAATATAACGTCTTTGCAAATGGGGAGGGAACCAACAGTTAGAAGGAGCAGGAAGGGAGGGAGGGGAAGGGTAGGGGTAAAAATTTAAAAAAAATTTTTAAAGAGAGAAAGGAAAGAATTAAGATGTATTATGTACATGTACCAACTCCACACAATAACTGTAATCATTATATACTACATATATGTACTAATAAAGAAAGCATCATTCCTGTTCTTGAGTGAATCCCTGAAATTTTCTAACATCATAGGTGAATGTGTACCAGAGGAAAAGTCAGTCTTGACCAACTTACTATACTCTGTAACTCTGTGGCCTCTTTCAGGTGAAGCTGCTCCAGATTGTCTGGTATCGTGTGGTAGTGGCCTTTACTCTTCTCATATTTCTTCTTGTACTGGTACTGAAAGGGGGTGGGGGAAGGCACATGGTTTGGAAAGCTGCTCAGGATTTCTATTTTTCCTCTTTGGATTTGACATTTTCACAGCAGCATTGTCAAGACCAAACTAAAATTAGCAAACTCTAAAGGATTAAGAAAAAAATTTAAAAGATGAAGAGCCAGGTTTAGTATTGTCAGTTAATACAGATAAAAACACTCAAGTTGCATGGCTTCTTCAAAGTAGGTGTTAAAGGTTAAAAGTGAAAGAAACTATTTCAGGTGATAGTTCTATGTACATAGAAGGAGAAGAAATGATTAATCAGGGAAAAATGTAAACACTGCAAAAATACTGACTAATGATGCAGTTTGGATAAGTATAATCAGATAGCAGAGCTTTGTAATAAATCCGGTGTATCAGCAGCAGAGGTGCATGTGAGCTCAGAGAAGGAACTGAGTTGCAAATGGGTAAATAAGTTGTTTCTGGAACAAATGATTGAGCTTACAGAGCTCGCAAGTTGGCTTGTGTTGAGGACGTGATGCATTATCAGAGATTCCTTCATGTCAGTCACAGGTTTGTGAAGTTTCTTCAGGTCTGCCTTATATTTAACCTGTGAGTTCAGGAAGGAAAAAGAGAAATGACATAAATAGAAAACAGAGCAGCACTAATGAAAATCGAGCTAAGATATTTCATCATGAAAACAAATGCTAGATATAGTTATAAAAATCATACCTTGTTCAGAGCAGCCAAAGATGGAAAAAAACCAAGTGTCCATTAATAGATGAATGGACAAAACCAAATAATGAAGTTTTGATACATGCTACAATATGGATGAACCTTGAAAATATTACACTAAGTAAAATAAGGTAAACACAAAAAGAAAAATATTATGATTCCACTTATATAAAATCTGTGAAAAAGGTAAGTACACAGAGACATAAAGGAGAGCAGAGGCTACCACTGGGTAAGAGGAGGAAAGGACAGTTACAGAGATTTTGTGTGGAATGATGAAACGTTGTGGAGATAGATCATGCTGATAGTTGAACAACATTGTGCATGTAATTAATGCTATGAGTTATACACTTAAACATGGCTAAAATGGCAAATGTTATGTTACATTATTTAATCACAATTTCAAAAAAACATACCTCGCTTGCAAGATTATTAGCATCTTTCATGATTTTATAAAGCTGGCTGTCTTTTGGATTGTATTTTGGTGCCTTGCCCTTCTCTTTGTCAAAATTTTCTCGGTATTTAACCTAATAAAAAATTCAAACATTCAGATTATTTCTGTAAATCAATCAATCTGGGAACTGTTGAATAGTGGAAACATAAATGCCAAAGAATATGCATACATTATACACAAAGAGATCATATAAGTCATTATCCAAACTAGGACATTTTTAAGCGTAAAGGGTGAATTATTAACAACTAATAGTTATATAGGGGCATAGAGAATCAAGTATGAGATCAAGTGATATAATATTGACCTTGCTCATTTTTATATTATCCAGAAGTGTGAAAATTACCTCATTTTAATGCAAAATAAAAATAAGAGAAAAAGGTATCAGGCTAAACTCTGAGGAGCAATCTAATGTACTTGATTTGGAGCATTTTGCATTTCCTAACTAGCAAAACCAAAAATACTTTGGGTCTACTGTGGGGTGGAAAAATAGTTGTATACAATCAAGAGGATTGAGAAATAAGAATCTTTTAAATTAGGAGAATTTATTACTATTTTAGAATAGTACTTTGACTATAAACTCAATTTTAAAAATAAGCATAGTTCTTGGCATTAATAGTTGCTCAAAAAACATGATTTGGTTGAATGATAGGAAGAAACAGTCATTATGCCTAAGTATATCTAAAGAAAATGACTCCTAAGAGAAATAAACTGAATAACTGAGAAAAAGAAAAACAGACTGATGCCTTTGTCAATAATATTGGAAGGTTAAGTCCTGAAGAAGAATTCCATTTGTTTGAAAAGGAGCTACTTCTACAGGTTAGCTGACTAACAGGCAATATTTAACTCTCAGGGGAGCCTCGAGTTTCTGCTACTGCTAAGACGAAAGCTTCACTCGTTAGTCAGCATACCGGCATTGAGTCACTGGGATATGTAACTCTGTGGGCATCTAAAGGTAGTAAGTATCCTCGCGCTTCGGCACTGTGCTTCCCTGCCCCACCATTGACATATGTAGCACAAGAGACACAAAGAGAGACCACTGAAATGCCAAAAACAGTGAGATCTGCTACGTGGAATAAAATATATTTGCAGCATTGAGGCTCACATACTTTGAATCCCTCCAGAGTGAGAGTGCAGAGAGAAGACAAGCATACAGGATGGGGCAGGGGAAGGCAGCACGCTGAGATAGACACACAAAGACAGACACAGAAAGGCAGTGCTGCTGGAAGACAAAATGTAAGCAATAATACAGCAGCTCTGCTCTGAAAGACATTTACTCGCAAGATAAAGAAATGGAGAGTGGGTGAAGGAGAGTTAGAAGTGAGGAACTGGAGTCTAGATCAAAAGAAGGCAACTTCTCCTTAGGGATATAGAAACCCAGAAGATGGAATGTTCCCCTAAAGTAGGCAACGCCAATGAGAAAGTAAACCAAACATGCAGCAGATGGGTGGAGAAAAGAAGTCAGAGGCCCATTTCCAGTGAGAGTAGTCGGTTCTAGAAGTATGCTGAAAGTCCTCTTTCTGTCTTAATAGGAACTAACTCATTTATGAGAATATATTCATTCTTAAGAACAGCAATTCCATTGATTTCACTTTAGTTTCAAGTTAAATTTCCAGCTTTAAAGAAAGTGTATGTCTCCACAAGAAGGCCACCATGCAAAGGCAGCCTCACACCACTGCTAATATGAATCTGAGGCAACACTTGGGGCCTTCCTTCCTGGCTCGGTCTGTTTAAGAACTACTACATCTCGAAGGATCCAGGACCTCAGGAAGCAGTAGAACGGTGTTGGATCAAGTGGTAAAGGTGGTAACAATGTATACATGTGGCATTATGGAGTGGGTTCCAAGCCTGCTTTTTCTTGTAAACCATAGAAGCCTGTGAAGTAACTGCGATGCCATGGACCAGCAAGAGCAAGATCAGTCTTCTGTCATCCCATTAAGCTCAGATATCGGGCCTATTATGGATATATTGTAGGGAAGTGTTTATGAATTAAATATTTCCCAGAAGCTTTTGGAAGCAGTCCAACATCTAATTGCTCAGATGTTTTTCAGAGAATAGAATTATATGTTGGTACTTATAAAGAACAATGAACAGTTCTTGTTGTGAAGACTGTAAAATAAAGAGTGTAAAAGCTGGGTCAAAACAGAGTGTTTTTTTTCTGTTGATTCGTACTATGTCTAAACCAAGAGACTATATCAACTAACAGCCTTAAATGTTTGAAATAGCAAAGATGATAGATAACTTTAGAAGAAACAGTGGTTTTCTTTGTATGGCTGGAGGTGAGATTCTCAGTTTGTTTTCATTTCATCATTTAATTTGATCAGGCATCAGCAGCTTAAACAGTCTATCTTTCCACATCTCGTCTTTTTATTCCAAGTACATAACTGAGGGAAAATTTCACGCAGCAAAGAGGGATGTGTATACAAAAGTCTATCCTTCTACACATTTCCACAGCATTCTACACATTCCAACACAAAATCTATAGAAAAAAAGTGCAACTTTTGATGAGAGAAAAAGAAAGATGACTGTGGGCTTGCTGGTATCAGTCTTACATCACAGATGAGAACATTAATTTTCTTAAGATTCCTCACCATAGGGATAACATAAGGTGTGGCGCTGTGTCCTTGCTCTCTCCTTTGGCCTGTGGGGTATTCTGCCTAAAGTACTTACCGAGACAGCAAAGTCAGAGCAGGGAGAGCCTACAGATAACTGAGGACCCCTTAGGCAAGAGACCACACTATTGAGCTGTCAAACCTGAGGCAAGTTTCTCACAGGAAGATGAACTCATAAGAAGATCTTGTTGGGTCCTATTCTTCATAACACAGGATTCACTTAGGATTAGAAGAATGAACCTCTTGATTTTTAAAAACAGTGACATTTTCAAAATTTCAACATCAAAATCTTTCTTTTTCGGTTTTTATCTTGATAAACTATGACCTTGGAAATTTACATTACTCTAAAAAAATGTTTATATAAGTTCTTGGAGTATTTCATTCTTTAGAGATTCCACCCTAAGAGAATGTTGTTAGTGATTCTGTTTCTTGGTCTCAGATGGTTATACGAGTCTATTAACTTATAATAATAAAAATACTGCACAGAAATTTTAAAACAAAAAATTATAATTGCTTGTCAGCAGTCCCTGAACCTTTTTTTTCATAATTCCAACTTGCTTTATCACTTGCTGTTAATACTTTATACAGTATCTTCCTCAAGATTGGGATCTCATGTCTGATATTGCTGCAAGTCAGTACATAGAGCCAAAAGTGCGTATTCCAATAAGGCAAAAGAAAAAACATGAAAAAAAGGAAAAAATGGAAACAAAGCCTTTGTAAATACAGAAGGGTAGAGAGGGTAAAGGGAGAGCAAGGGAATGGGGAATAAATAGGAACCAAGATACGTTGCATAAAGGTACAAGATCCCAATGATGAATGTAACTGTACTGTTTACCTTAAATGCACCAATAAACTTAATGGAAAGAAAAAAGAATGCACAATCGGAGCACATAAAGGGAATCATGACATTGGATACAAGTATCCAATGGGGTAATATTTTCAAAATATTGAAAAATAAAGAATTTTTAACCAAGAATTTGTTTTAAAAAGTATGTATTCCAAACCTATTATTTAAATACTTGAAGAGAATGGATAATGAAGAAGATGAAGGGAAGATTTCCAAATTGGAGGAGAAATATGATACTCTTTTTTCTTTGTACCAGGGGTCAAACTTGGGACTTTGCACTTGCAAGGCAGGCAGCAGAATCACTGAGCTAAATCCCCGGCCTGAAATATGATATTCTTGAGTTCAAGTCCTGTGGGACCAAAACTTGCTGTCTGCAAGATCTGGTAGAAGGAATCTCTCAGTGTAGTCTGAAAACCTGTCATAACTTAAGGATGTTGTAGGTAATTGATCAAAAAAAGCAACTTCGGCAATGTGACAATCAGCTTTGGATAACACATTTCTCATTCTTTTTTTTTTTTTTTTTTCCTTTTGGTACCTGGGATCAAACTCAGGACCTTGTGCTTACAAGGCGGCAGAGCCACTGAGCTAAATCCCTGGCTCCAGGATAACACATTTCCATGTCCAGCTTGTTCTTGATAATATGAAATCTGCTAAAAGGAGGCATTCTACGAGCACCCTTGATCAAATACTTATCACACCAGATTGTAATTATTTATCCAGACACATGTAGTCTGAAGACATTTGCTCCTCCTCAGTTCCTATCCCAGGCATTCAACATATGAATGTTGAATGACAGAATAAAGGTTCCAGCCAGGCACAGTGATGCATGCCTGTAATCCTAGCGACTCAAGAGGCTGAGGCAAGAGGTTTGCAAGTTTGAGGTCAGTCTAGACGAAATAGTGAGACCGCGTTTCAAAGTAAACTAAAAGGGATGGGGATGTACTTCAGCGGTAGAGTACCCACAAGGGCCCTCACACCCACAAAGCCCTGGGTTACTCAGCACTATCACACCTACCCACCCACAAAAAAGAAAAAAATTACTTCACCTGATTGCATTTGAGAACTTAGAATTGTACGACCTTTGCCTGTTAACAGGTCTCCTGTAGCAACTCAAGTATGAATCAGACCCTCAAGATGTACATTTTACTTTTAGAGTAAGGTCCCCTTTATCACATGATGACAGTTAAGCACACAGGCACTCAGATGCACACCCATAAATGGCAAAATAGAGAATAAGAAAGGCCTAGAGTGGTTAGAGAGAAGAAAGACAAAGTAGGTGCTCAGCACTTTTCAAAGCTCTGTACTGCGATTACAGACCAATAATATCTCATTGGTTGTTGATACTGCACTTTCATTCTGGGAATTACTTCTTTCTGTGAGGTTTTCAAAATCTTTGCACACTAGAGTTGCCACTTGTCCTCTGCATTACCTGGCTGCTCAACTTGGCTGCTTTCTTGGCCATCTCAATGTCTGGCCGACCAAGCATGCTTAACCCATGGCTGCCTTCCTTGCGGTGCTTGGCTCTGTACTCCACCTGGATCAAAGAAAACCAAAATGGGCAATGCATTCTTGGTAATAAGTACTTTTTACTTCTGTTGGCAGAGACCACTGGGGACTGGAGACATTTTAACTATCACCCTTACCTCACTGGCCTGCTTGGCTGCCTGCGTGGCCTTCTTGATGTCTGGTCGATCAGCCACTGTGGTATAATGCAGGTTCTCTTTGGCATCTTTTTTGTAAGCAACCTTTATGTGGGGAGAAAATGTTTACTCACTTGAAATATGCTGTCTTTCCAAAAGTCGCCATTAAGCAAAAACAACCCTTTTACTCCAAATGCAACAAATCCCCACCACCACCACTATATTTTTTAAACTACCAGATCACAGAAATCAGGGTGAGCACACTTCAGAACAGGGGCATGCACGCCCTTGGGGTGCACTGCCATGAGTGGGCTCAGGAATGTCACGAGGGGAAACGTACGTCACTCTGCTTCTTGGCCACTTCCATGGCATGTTTCACCTCTGGAGGCTCCTGCATGATGGAGTAGTTGGACTTTCCTTTCTCCTTGACAAATTTCTTTTTGTAATTTGTCTAAAGAGAGTCAGAATTATTTATGAGAGAAGAGGAAGCCGGGAGCAAGAGTGATTTATTTGAAGAACTCTGAGAAGACCTCCAGGAAAACCCCTGACTGCCCCCTTGGCAGTACTCTGGTGCTTAGATCTCTGGCCCACATTCTGATTCTTCCCTGCGGTTTCTGTCCTGAAACCCAATGCCCAAACCATGCAGTAATCTTTGGAGAACCGAGTACAAGCAAACTAAGCTGTTTTATGTGCCATTTCTACCTTTTAAAAATATATGAAATCACATAGATATATAAAATATAATACCAGGATTACTACAATATTACTCATGGAGTAGGAAAAGGTTACTGACGCACAAAAAGGTGACTTTAGCTGTCCAAAACTGCGTAGCTGTTCCCTGAGACCATAATAGTAAGTGAAATAAATCAAACATACAAGCTTAAACAGTGGATGGTTTCTCTTATATGAGAAGCCCATAGTATAAATAAAGGCCAAAATAAAAGATAACAAGAAGTATGGAGATAGCTCTTTCTTAAAGGGGAAGGGAATCAAGAGATAGAAAGGGGAGGGAAAGGAGGGAAAAAGGATGAAAAAGAACTGTGACATGTTATGTATATCACCAACTCCATACAGGGAATGTAAACATCATGTACTACAAACATGTACTAAAAGAATTAAAAATAAAATAATTATTGTACAGCAACAATTTTAACAACAGGAGAGGGCAACCTTCATCAGCATTATTAGCATTATTAATGACAGCTTGTATTTTTAGATACTATGTCCTGTGCAAAACCCTCATCTGTCAAAGTTGCCCTAACTAGAAAGCAAATAAACACAGAATTTTAAAAATTAGTTTAGAGTTCACACGTAAATACTGATGGTAAGAGTGAAACTATGTAAAGGAAAGCATTTGTAAAAGCGAAAAGGCAGTCACAGTCCTTCCCCAGACCCTAAGGGGAAGTGCTGTTGCTGCTGCAAGAATCCCACAGCTGGCCACTTACATCACTGACGTGCTTGGTGACTTTCTTGACATGAACGGTGTCCCGGGTCTCCGGCAGTGTTGTGTATGAGCCCTCGGCCAGGTGCTTCTTGACATGGCGCTTATATTTGTTCTGAGGAAATCCACAGGAAGATTATTAAAGTATCTGCCTGGGGCCTGAGTCCAAGACAGGAGCAGAGCATCTGGGTTGCTGGAGGGTTACCTCAGACACCAGACTGCTGACAGTCTTTGCTAGGAGAATCTGAGGAGTGTCAGGCACGGCATGGCAGGTTCCTCTTTCCTTGACGTGTTTCTCTTTGTATTTCAGCTGTGGAGGAAGGAAACACTTCTTTAGCTCCTCTAGGGTTCCTGTGCATTTTTATTAAGCCCCCAAATCACTAGGTTATAGCTGGCAGAAAAACATCATGGACAAATTGAGATCACAAAACTCATTTAAAGATTCTGATGCTTGGAAATCCTGAGAAAGAAGCTTTTGCTTATCACTTGCAAGTTGAGGCTTTAATAAGGATCAAAATACATCCCATGATGGATCTCTATATAGATAGACACTACTTCAAAGCATGTTCAAATATGTCATTTGGCCTTCCGGTCAGCCCTGGGAGGCTTTATTTATTTATTTATTTTGGTACCAGGGATTGAACTCGGGTCCTTGCGCTTGCAAGGCAGGCCACCGAACACCTGAGCTAAATCCCCGGCCCAAGGCATTACTTCTTTACAGATGAGAAAACTGAAGCCTAGAGTGGTGGTGCACACCTGTAATCCCAGCACTTGGGAGGCTGAGACAGGAGGAAACTGGGGTCTGCGCTTGCAAGGCAGGCCACCGAACCGCTGAGCTAAATCCCCGGCCCAAGGCATTACTTCTTTACAGATGAGAAAACTGAAGCCTAGAGTGGTGGTGCACACCTGTAATCCCAGCACTTGGGAGGCTGAGACAGGAGGATTGCTGAGTGTTCGAGACCAGCCTGGGTTACACAGTGAGTTCCAGGTCTGTCTCAACTGCAAAATATCTCAAAATACAAGCAAAACAAAACAAAGTAGACAAGAAAACTGCAGTATAGGAAGAATATGTTACCACAGAAAAGAAATGATTATGTGTCCATACAGAACTCAGCCGGGCCTTTAGGTTCTTAGTTTGTGCCATGCGAACTGCCAGATGGAAAGCTGTAACCTGGGTTTCACAGCCTCGGCACAGATGCCGCCTGGCTCAGTCACATCACTGGTGGCCATCAGGGTATGGCCGCCATGTTTCAGGACCACACCTGAGCTCCTACAGACCTACCCTTCTCCGTCCTTTCCTGGATGGTCATGGGGACTGTGCCACAGAGCAGGGGACTGAAGAAGTCAGGTACAGTGGAAGAGACTGGATACTTACATCACTTTCTATTAAGGAATTCCTGAGGGCCAGAACCATGTCTTTGTCATCAGTGACAGAAAGCTTGCAGCCCTTGAGGAACTCTCGGTCCAGCTTGTACTCAAACTGTGATGGAAGAAAAGCAGAGGAAGAGTGGGGCACAAGCGCAAGAGGAAGCTGGGCATCTGAGCAAACTCAAAGGGAGTCCTCTTAAGCGGGTGATGAGGCCATGTTCCCTGAACGAAGGACAGCTTCCCGGCCCCTCACAGCTTTCCGGGCTCTTTGTTTTCCATCCTGGGAACCAAGACGAAGCTTTGCCATCCCAGCCTTTCCCCTTCAGGACTGAGCCCTCAGTGTTTGGGTGCAGCAGTAGGAAAATGGGCTTGATGGCCAGGTTTGCATCTTTGAGCTTGCCTTTCACTCCCCTCAACCCTCCTCTGGATCCCAAATTAGGGTTAACATCCACAACAGTATTGTGAATAACCACGACGTCTATCTCTCTTCCCATCTTACATCGCTTTGCTGCAGGGACGCCTTGGCAGCCTGCATAAAGTCTGGTCGGTCAGGGGTCCACCTCCAGTAGGCTTTGTTGGCTTCATACTGTTTCTTGTAGTCCAGCTGTTTTTAACATGATAGAAATCAATCAGGCAGAATTCATAAACACAGTAGGCACAGGACTTGCATTTTTAACACACCTCACCTTGTAGTTTTTGAAATAACAGAGATCCCTAATTAAAATCTACAATTTTGGGGCCGGGGATTTAGCTCAGTGGCACTGTGCCTGCCTCACAAGTGCAATGTCTTGATCCCTGGTATCCAAAAAAAAAAATCTGTACAATTTATGCAGAAAATTGACCACTCTGAGGTCATCCAATGACAGAGAATACCCATGCAACCACCACTTGACCTCCATATTGTACATTTTACTACACCTGTTTTCTCCCACACCTCTACCTCTACCCATCCATCAGTCCATTCTCAGAACACCTGCAAGCTATCTGCCAGCTCCTCAGGTGCCTCAGTTTGCTGGCCATAATAAATGTGTTCTCTCTGGCAACCATTAAGCATTAGTTGGATTGTAATAGTTTCATTATACTAACCATTTATATATTTTTAAAAGACAGTGCATGGAATGCATGGAATTGTTTCTGTGGTAGGGGCTTTAAGATGCTCCACCCAAGAGAGTGGAGAGAGCACTCAGTGCAGGGAGTAGCTATCTGGTCAGGAGGAAGGTCCAGGCCAACGCCTGAGGAGACCAAATGGCTCAGAAGTTTTCTGCTTCAAAAGAAGGGAGCAGACTCTAGAATTTGAGGCAGAAAGGGAGCCCGGGAGGAGAATGGCAGGTGCTCAGGCACTTTCTAAAGTGCAGCCTTTAGAACTAAATGTCCGGCTTCACAGCCACCCACTACAAAGACTAGCGGGGTGTCATACTCATAGCATGAGGAGACCACCCTTGCTATTCAGTGTCACCTTTGTGAGGACCAAAGGCATTTTGTTTTTGGCTCCTGGGACCTAACTCCTGATCTGGATGCACTAGAGCTCAACTACCTGAACAGATGTGAAAAGAGGCCACACGTCCTGCAGAAACTGATAAAGCCCCATCAGGCTTTGCTATGGTTCAGACAACTCCAAAACTCATGTTGGAATTTAACTGCCATTTTGGTATTCATAGGTGGGAGCCTTAAGAGCATAGAGAAATGCATGGAACTTACATTGGTGTTAACTTTGTAGGCATCCTTGGCTGCTTTGATATGAACAGCATCTGGTTTAATGGTGCAGTTAGATTTATTTCTTTGGTAAACTTCTTTATATTTCAGCTGTGGGAGGGAACACAGTGATGAAAATTTTCTGTAGCATCCTACTAAGCATTTTAAAGACTAAGAAATTGAAACCATGACTGTACTACACAATGCTTCCTATAGTAGGCTATTTTTGTAAATTCTGCAGTGAAGTATTCATCTACACAGGATTCACTTTCCTGTCTCAGATCTGAACACCAGCTCGAAGGGCACTTTGATGTGGTCATCAGTGTTGCCGCAGGATCTACCTCCATAAGCTCGTGTGAAAGGACCAACTGAACAGCTATCCCTGCATGATTCCCCTTTTCCACGTCAGAAAAGCCTGAGGCCAGAACATTTTGAAAACTGCTGCTAGTAGAGAAGCCATACCCTGCCAGCTCACTGGAACAAAATTTGAGTCACATTCTTCTCTGCTCTCATATTTCTTGCTGTTAACTTGTCAGTGGTAATTGTTCACCTGCTTATTCTCTTATGCAGAACCCTTTTAGAGCAAAGGTTTTGCCTCATTCATCATCATATTCCTAGGGTCTGGACAAAGAAACTAATACTGGATGAATGAATGGACGGGTATGTTCCTCACGACTGCTAGTGCTAGAGTGATGTGTAGCAGGTTTGGTTTGTGGAGGTGCGATGGGAGGGAAGGGCCCAGGGAAGGAAGTTTCCTCATCTTTCTAGGACTTCTAGATTCCCCTACTTTTTCTTCTCTTAAATTTCATGGTGCTCATTTCCATCTTGGGTTTTCCCATTAATTTGGGGGAAAGAACGTTAAGTTTTAATGTGATTAAAGACAAAAGGAACTGTTCTAAGGGGGCCAAAGTAGGGTGTACTAAACTGATCATAAAAATATGCAATTTTCTGGACTTTACCATAGACCTAGATTACTCATCAATATCTTTAGGGGAGCTGGGCGTGGTGCACGCCTGTAATCTCAGCACTCGGGAGGCTGAGGCAGGAGGATCACTGTGAGTTCAAGACCAGCTATAACCACCATGACTGTCCCGGATAACTTTCCCTGTGTAAGTTTTTCCTACAGTTTCCAGTACATAATTAGACAAAACAATTAGAATACACTGTGTTGCTTCACACCCTGGTGCCACGAACGTGCCCGACACTTCAATATTAGCTTAAGAGAAACCAGGTACAGTCCAGCTTGGGTGAAGTCCCTTTTGTTCTGACTAATATATGTGTCCTTCTTTCTGGCCCTGATAGCAGGGATCCACTTGGTATTGCTGCTTCCTAGAACTGTGCTTCTGTCAATAAGTCTCCCTAATAAACTACACTGTGAAGCACTAGATCAGTCAGCTTTTTTCTTCAGTTTAATGGCACCTTGGAGGGGTTTCATACATGGGGCTAGTTGTTCTGGAGTAGCCATCTTGGCTACCCAGGCCCAGCCAAACCTCAGCTGTCTGCCAACAGCATGTGTGACAGGACTACTTGGCTGTGCCCAGTCAACTTGCAGAATCACCAGCAAAACAGATGATTGCTATTTTAAGCAACTAGGCTTTTGGGTGGTTGTAACTCAGGAATAGGTAACTGAGCTGGAGTTTGTTACATCATATTAGACAGTGGCACAAATAGAGAAACTGAAAGGCCACTCCAGGACTTACATCACTGACTTCATCTTTAACCTTGCGGACATGCAGCAACATGGGCGTGTCATGGATTGTGGTGTATCCTCTGGGCTTGGCCTTGTTGTATTCCAGTTTATAAAGTATCTGAAGGAGTTTAAAAAGCACAGTGTTATACTTCCCTTGTTACAACGTAAAAATGTAAATGCAAAGCTTTTTTGGAGAAGGTGAACGAAAAGAAAAGAAAAGAAAAGAAAAGAAAAGAAAAGAAAAGAAAAGAAAAGAAAAAGAAAAAGAAAGAGAATTCTATAAATTCATATTTTCAGGCTCTCTGCTAAGACCTCAGTGTTTCTCAATTGGAACGGCTACCAGTTTGGCTGGAAGAGCCCTGTGCAGAGCAGACATGCAGTATCCTTGCCTCCCTCCCACTAAATGGCTATCAATCTCCCAGATGTGACAATCTCAAATGGCCCTTCACATTCACAAATGCCCCGAGTCCGAGCGTCTACTCGGTGTTTCTTGTACTTACATCACTGATTAGTTTGTTGACTTTTGTAGTACGCAGATGTTCTGGAGTGTCCACGACAGAAGTGAATTTGTCTTTTGATTTTTCGTAATTTTTCCTGTACTTGATCTAGATTGTAGAAGAGAAGAATGAATTAACTCTGAGAAATCAAACGAGACACCAGAATGGGAAATGGTGTCACGGTAGCTTTCATGTTTGATATAAATTTGTATTTGACAGGAACAGTGTAGTAGAGTGAACAGAGAATAATAATAATAATAATATTTTCCAATATATTTTATACACATGGGAATCAACCGAGGCCCAAAAGGTTGAGACTGAGCCACGGGCACATGTGAGGGAATCTCACAGCAGGACTAAAACTTTATCCTCTGCACTCTGGTAAGTACTGTTTCATTTATAATATATGAGTGGTCTCAAAATGTTTTTCAATATCAAAGATGAAACACAGAGCCAGGGATTTAGCTCAGTGGTTCTGCCGCCTGTCTGGCAAGCGTAAGAACCCAAGTTCGATTCCCGGTACCAAAAAAAAAAAAAAAGATGAAACACAGATACAAAATAAAACCTAAGTATGGTATATATAGTTTAAAAAGTATTTATCATTTAAAAATACATTTATTTTTGTAATTTACAAGTCATCATTTTTACATGCACATAAGCTGTTTGAAGCAGGACAGATACAGGCAACACAACAAAATTTCATGCACAAGTGTTTAATGAATATATGAAGGCCTAGGAAAAAGTTCAGGCTAACAGGATGTTTATGGAAGAGCTCACCCTCATTTTATGTATCGGCCTGATGGAAAACCAAAATGGTAAAATAGTACCTAGTACAAAAGACTGACTAAAAACTTTTCGGGAGCCAAGTGTGGTAGTGCACATCTGCACTCAGGAGGCTGAGGCAGGAGGATCGCTCCGAGTTCAAGACCAGCCTGGGTTACACAGTGAGGTCCAGACCAGCTTGAATTACATGGCAAAATCCTATGTCAAAAACAAAACAAAACAAACCCACCACTTTTTCTTGTTTTGAAAAATGGCATTTTATTAATATTGCGTCTAATAATTAACAATTAGCACCATTTATTACTGTTCTCCATTTGCCTTTCAGCTCCACTGGAAATATAGTCGTATGTGGAAAGACAGCTTTATCAGTGGCATGGTTAACAAGTGTGGGAAAACAGATGGGCTGGAAGTAGTGTAGCAATATCAGGCTCAAAAGGCACCATAAATATGTGCACTATTTAAACAGCTGTATGGTGACCCTTATTTCTCCCAAATGGCACAGATGCAGAGATAACTGAAAAATGGGAAAATTAGATGGAAACATTCAGAGCTTTAAATGCTATTGAATCTGCTAAATAGCCTCAAGTGCTAATAATCTATTTCTTTGAGGCAAATACTGACAAATATACCAGTTTGGAAATGATGTTTGAGAGAGTCCCAGGTAATCTTTCTTGGAGCTCCCAAAGTATCAGATACACAAATGATAACTGGCCCTCCTCATGCTTGGCCATACTCAGAGCTCGTCGGTACCAAGGGGTGGGTATCTATCCACCTCTATCATGTGAATCTCACATGGGCAGGAGCAGGGAGAGGAGACCAATGGAAGCATAGAAGGGAATGCACCCAAGGTCTAAGCCTCCTTCACACCGCATCAGACATTACCTGGCTCCACATGTGCGTATTGTAGAGAGCAGTCAACATATCTGGGCGCAGAATTTCATTACATCCTTGTTTCAGAAGCATCTTGGCACTAGATTTATATTTTCTCTGTTCATGCAAAGAGCAGTGAAGCACAAAAGAGACTTATGAAGACAGAAGGGAACACAGCTCTGTAACACAGTCACCTCCGAGTGAAGAGATGTAGACACACACACTTTGTGGCCTCACATAGCTATGTGGATGAAGACACCAAATGTATGAAATGCCAGGCACAGTGAGTGCAGTATGCCCGTCAGTAGTTCTTGGGAACGGAAGATATCGCTAGTCTGGCTAAAGTAACAACAAAAATTTCTATATAGAGAAGAAGACATCATCGGAAAAGAAACACAGTAGAAAGTTCCATTTTCTTCCTTCCACAGCTTTTTTTTTTTTAATTAAAGCAATTTATAGTTGCTGTTTACAAACAAGTTCTGCAGAATACATTGTGGGAGGACCTGGCTTCTCTTTTCGTCTTCACCACTGCCCAAGTGAGGACACAGAGTGTGAACTGGCTCACTCAAACAGCTCATGGGCTCTTTGGGTGGCTACACAGATACTTTGACACAGTACAGCCCAATATCATAGGCAGAACCTATGACATCCTTGCAGCAGACGTGACGACACCTTATGAGAAACTGGAGCACAGTCCTGCCTGGGCCATCCGGCCAGCCCCATCACAGTACCTGACTGATCTGGTCGCCTGCGGTCTTAGCCAGCAGATGTCTAGGCTCATCCACTACCAGGTGGTATTTATCTTTCCGCTGCTCATAATCAGCTCTGTATTTTTTCTGCTCAAACATCATATCAAATTATAGCAAGAGTACAACATTAAGACTACAGAGAAATGTCCCAGGTTAAATATTTCAGAGAGCCAGAAACATATCATTTCTAGGAAAAGGTTCCCAAAACAAACAGAACAATAGAAACAGGGAGGCAGACAGTCTAGTGAAGGAAGATTACTTGGTGAAGGCTGGAGCCTGGGAGAGATCAGATTTATGAAGCTGAAACTGCAGTACCTTGTGCCTACTATTTTCTATCTTTTCTCATGTGATGCCATTAGCAATGTTAGATTTCATGGCTTCTTACACTGTATTTAAAATAAGGTACTGATAAGCTACAGGCTTACCATCTAAGGATGTGAGAATCCAAATGCCATAACTTATGCTAAAATGCTCATGGAAAAACTGGTACAGTCTTCTAAGATTTCTGGACACTAGTTAAATAATTTAATTTTAAAAAGATCTGGAAATCCTTTGCTTAAATAGGAAAATAGAAACAAAATATATCAAGACTGTCCTCCCAGAAGGCTACCATCAGCAATTCTTCTGAAGTGTCCAGCTTGGAAATCTACTGAAAATGAACTAAATCAAATTTTAAAATAAAATAGAAACAATAAAATGTCATACATTTTAATAAATATATCACTGACTACATTTTCACTGTTAGATATATTTTAGTAGTTTTTTAAACATTTTTGAACTCACATAATTCCACATAAATCTGAAAACAGGAAGTTAAATGTAATTTTAATTATAAAATCATCCAAATATTGGGAAATGATAAATAAATTCTTAACTTGCTTATTTAGGCTATCTTGAATTAAATTTAACTTAAATTATTGCAAGGATAGTTACAGGAAAAACTGGTATAGATGGGTACTTCTATACACTAACACATGGGAAATTACAATGGAAATATATTTGAATGCATGAGTCACAACTCTGCCCTAGGGTAGCTCTTTGAACCACTGTCATTTGGTGACTTCATTAGGGAATATTAACTTATCCTTGAATTTTTGGGTTGTCACTTATTCATGATTTTGACAGACACTATCAATGGTAACATTACACAAAATATCTAGTTTGAAAGAACACCGAGGATGCCTTTGCCGACATGGCGTATATTTGGTTTTAATCAAATAAGTGTAAGCTTCTTAAAGGAACTGAATAGGCCTAGTCGAATTAATTCATACATACCTCATTCATCAATTGAGTTGCATACTTGAAATGTCTATTGATTGGACAGTCAGCAACATACTTGAAATTTGACTTGGTCCTTTCAAATACCTCTTTGTATTTATACTAGAGAAAAAGAACATGATTACTTAATAGCATGTATATTTTAAGAATGAGATATGCTACTTACAAGATCATGATAATTCATTCACAGAAATTCATTCACTTGCTAGTAAATACTAACTTGTTAGTAAATACTAACAAGTACAGGTATCTATTAAATTTCTACACCATCTCCCAAAACAATGAAGGGTAGACCTGGCTAGATGTCTTGAAAATGAGCCCAAAAATACATTGTGGAGAACTTTCATTGAATGGATAGCAAATACATCTCTTTTCCATGTGGAGCTAAAATCTGAATCAAATTATTTTTTGCTTCTATATGTTATTATTTTACTTTGAAAGTATTTTCATGTTTTTAGCTTATTAATTTAAATACAGTTTTCTAACAACTAGGTAGTTATACTCTTATAGAGTAGGGGTATCTTATGACCTATCTAGCTGCCATCTATTTTGAAAGGACCCTTTGAGTTAAGAATGGTTTTTACAACTTTAACAACTTTAAAAGGTTGTAAAAACAAAGAAGAATATATACTAGAATGAATGTGGCCCAGGAAATCTAAAATGTCTATTATTTGAAATTCATCAGAAACAGTTGGCTGACTCCTATTTCAGAATTCAGTGGAAGGAAATTCAACTGCTTTAATTTGTAAATGGGAAAATGTGGCCATAAAAATTTGATTTTTCTCAAGTTGTACACCGTTTGTGGATTAAAGTAACCCTGCTTTATGTTAGCTCTGTTGGGGTAAATCACCTGGAGATATATTAATATGGAGGGGATTCTGTAATGGGCATGGGCAGTTGTACCACGATAACTTTTCATCAAAATCAAATAAATTCAAATAAACTGTAGTCAATGAGATTAATACTAAAGAAATTCCTAGAGACAGTGAATAGTTCAGTATATATTCCAGTTATAGGGTGGAGAAGTGAGGGTAAGGATGGAAATTTGGAGACTAGGATATGGCTTGTATCTAGATGTCCCCCAAAGCCTTGTGTACTCATAAGTGGGGCTTTTTGGAGGTGGCTGGATCTAGGGTGTGTAAATGAGATTTAAGTGTGTGTGAATATGGATTAAGGGTATGATAACTAAAGCAGTCCACTAACTGGTGTAGCATAATTCTGGGTGTGGATAATGGGAAGGCCCACCGTGGGTGTGGGTGGTATCATCCAAAAGACTTGTAGCCTGGATGGGATCACAGGGAAAGGGAGGCCTGTCACTGCCATGGACGGTTTCTCCTCTGTTATGCCCCTGTGCTGTGCCACCCTGCCTTGGAGCCAGCTGACTACGGACTGAAATATCTACAAGTTGAGCTAAAATAAACCTTTTCTTCTTTAACTTTTGGGTGTGAGGAGTTTTGTCTCAGCAATGAGAGAAGTAACAAAGATGGGCTATTTCCTCAATGCTACTATCTCTGTGAGTGCAAGAAGATGCTGGATGAATGCAGTCATTCTTGAGAAGATGTACCTTGCTGTAGAGAGTCTTGTTCTGTTCAGCCAAAGTGAAATCGGGGGTGTCATAGGCATAACAACCAATGCCTTTAAGCCACCTAAAGTCTTCTTTATATTTTACCTGGAAGAAGAGCATCATCAAAGTATTTTAAGAACACCTCCAAATAGCTATAGGTTAGGATCTATAAAGGTGGAACAAACAGAAGCTATGACCCTGAACTATAGGGAATAATGAAGTATTAAAACTGCTACTTAACATGCTTCTTGTAATACTGATTTCTGCTTATTTTTTTGGTACATTGTTTATAGTATGTAGAAATCTTCATTTTTACTACTAGTGAAAGCAATTCAGATTTAACAGGCATACCCTTCTAGAGTATATTGTTAGCTTGGCAGCTATATTTTCATAGAGAGAGGTGAAATTTCTTACTAGATGAGCACTGTTATATATCTTAATAGCTCTACAAAATTCTCTCTCCAGTGGATCAAAAATAGGCTCTTTGTTTCACAGATAGAGTACAGCTGCAATCTTCTGAATGTATATAATATCATATGTTCAGAAGAAAATTTAAGTTTATAAATTTGAGTGTATTTTTCCTTCTCTAAAATTGAAACTTTTTTAGCAATTGAATTTTATAATTTAAGCACCTATATACAAGATCTAGAATCTGGGAAAATGCTTCATCAAGTTTTATGCAATGGTTGGTTTAATAATTTATATAAGGACATGAAATTCTATGTGAAAACAGAAGATGTGAACTCTCACATCACTGACTGCATCCGTGACTGCCCGATGGTGGAAATGCTCTGGGCGATCAGGAATGGACATCCAGATTCCCAGCTGGCTCATGTATTTCTCCTTGTATTTCACCTGTGATTAAAAAAATATACAGATAGCCATAAAGTTTCATTAAAGTTGATGTAAAAGCATCTACTTCTCTCTGGGGTTTTAGAAAAGGGAAACTGCTTTTTCATGTGATGGGTTATTGCCAGGCATGATGGTGCATGTCTATTATCCTAGCACCCTGGAAGGCAGAGTGAGGCAGGATGATCTCAAGTTTGAGGCCAGCATAAGCAACTTAGAGACTGAATGAGGCCTTATCTCAAGAAAAAAGAAAGAAAGAAAGAAAGAAAGAAAGAAAGAAAGAAAGAAAGAAAGAAAGAAAGACTAATCTTTATATCTCTAGTTTCAAAAAGGACTAGAGAAGACCCTGGGTTCAATGTTAAGTATCTTTCCCATCCCAACCCACCCTACAAATATGGTGGGTTACAAAGCCCAATACAAATAGGAATATCTAGGTACATACTTTACTAATATCATCTGTGACTTTACGATGATAAACAATATCCAGAGCATCCTTCACAGTGTGGTATCTCCCTTTGGTCTTTTGGAATGTTTCTTTGTAGCGAAGCTGGAAAGAAATAAAGTGCATGGATTATGAAAAATACCAAGTTAAATAATTGAGTTCTTTTAAGCTTAAACTCTTTCTAGTCTTTTAGTTTTTTTCCATGCTTAGATATAGGGAAAAGTTTTAAAGATAATTTCAGACCCTAGAAGACAAAAAAGGACACCAAGGACAACTAATGAAACCTAAACCAAGCATGGATTAATAAGAGTAATGGACCAGTCTTGTCCTATTAGTTGTGACAAATGTATGATGTTAATATAATTGGTTAACAATAAAAGCTGTGTATGGGAATTATGGGCATTCTCTCTACTATCTGCCACTTTTTGGTAAATCTAAGACTACTTAAGTTTATAGAAGCATAAAACAAATACATCATTTGGGTGGAGAAGAAAAAAACAGTCATGTTGAGCCCAAGACCCATTAATGTACATGGAAAGGGAAGACATTTAGCTCCTAACTCCTAATGTCAAGATGACTTCTCCACTAAGCAACCTTGAGATTTTATCATAACCCTTATCTTTGTGATATATTAAAAGAAAAAAGAATTGACCCTAAATCTAACCTCAGAGCAGTACAGAAGGTTCATCTCATCTACACAGATAGGTGCTTCTTTCATCACTCTGTTTTCAAACTCAAATTTTTTTTTGAGTAGCTGAGTAAACACATAATAAAAACTACCTTTTCTAACAAGGTAGTTTTGTTGTTTTAGAAGGATAATCTCATAAGATTATGACAACGATGGTTATACACTGAATTTAACACCACATATCATCCTTGTTACGTCCTTGGACAACATTGGGATTATCAAAATCGGTACTGGGGAAGCCCAGGGATAAAGCTGTCCAGTCGGGCATAATGAGCCCCCAGGACCAGTTTCACTGTGCAACATCCCTTGTATGATGCAAGTTAAGTTTGGTATAAATTAATATTCAAAAGAATCTTGAATGATAAAGATGAAGGATGTCAGCGGAAAACTAAAAATGTCCTAAGGGACAAATTTTGAGAATATATGATTTTCTCAGCTTACATTTTAAGCACTAACTGAAATTATGTCTTTTCAACTAGTAGACTTCCCACAGCACCAAATAAAAACTGATATAGATCAGTGCCATCTCCTTAAGATGCCTTGAAATCTCAGAGCTACATTGTAAACTTGAGGTTTATGGGGCTGGCTAGAGCTCTGGGCTGGGATTAAGACTCAACTTATCCAGTCCACGAGAGTTTCTGGTTCTGGCAATGGATACTGCAAATTATGTAGTGCAGCTCTACTCACAAAACTAGTAGAGCTGACTATCTACTACAGGTTGACTAATTTCATATCTTCATTATTGTTAAAAGGTGGACTTGGGTCAGGGGATTTAGCTCAGTGGTACCACGCCTGCCTTGCAAGAATAAGGTCCTGAGTTTAATCCCCAGTACTGGGGGAAAAAGAAAAAAGGCAGATTTGTCCTTGATCACATGATACAAGATACAAAAGTCTGTCCTTTCTAATTTTAACTACTATTATGTAACACATCATTCAAAGGAACCATTTCATGAGTGTCAATTAAAGCAGGGTAGAGTGCTAGGAATATTACATACATTTTCTTGGGCAGTCATATAATTTCACAATTCTCATCCTTACTTGACATACAAGAAAAGAAAAATTAGGCAAATTATGTAGTCATAAAGCAAGCAAATGACAGCATCATGATTTGAATGTACATTTGTCTGACTCCAAAACCATGATTTCATCAATAAGTTAATGCCAAGTATCCTTAGGAAATGCTACTAAAAAAATGAAAGAGAGGGTCATATTTTTGCCCAGGAGAGTTGAGATATATAGGTTTCTAGCATCTCTCAATACTATTCTTAGATGCTTTGCTTGACTGTTAAGTTAGTTCGCGTTTTCTTCCTGATCCATGTTGTGGGCTATGACTTTGAACTATGAGTACAATTGAATAGCTTATATTCCTTAGGCACTTCAACCCTAGTTCTCCTAGTTGTTATAGTTCTCTATAACAACAGGAGGAAGAAGGAAGGATGCTTACATCACTGGCATTCCAGTATGCCCTCTTGGCTCTGATGAGGATTGGTGTATCTGGAACAGGGGTGTACTTATCCTTCATCTTTTCATACTGAATCTTATACTTTTTCTAAAAAATGAAAAGTAGAAAAGAGATAAACATAAGTCAAGTGTTGTTACCCTTCCCAATGTACAACCAAGTCACAGATCTAGAGGAGGAACAAAATGTATTACACTCTTTTAGGGAATAGCTTCCCTTCTCTTTTGATGATGCTGAGTATAATTTGTAGTAATGAACTCCGATCACAGGTAGTAGGTGAAGGTTCTAACAAAGTTTTTTTTTCTTTAACCCAGTGCCTCAATGCCCAATCCCCATCTTACCTCGCTGACCATGTCCTTCACATCTTTAGCATGTTTTAGAGCTGTGGTCTGGTTTCCAGCATGATGATGGGGCCTCTCTTTGGTGGCAAGTTCAACATACAGATACTGAATAACAAGAGAACAGGGTGAGATATCAAAAAGATGAAACATCTATGAATTAGTCCTCTTCATTCATTTCTAACCTTTAAACAGGAGGGCAGTGTTTGCTTATTGTTCTGTTTGGATTCTTTGGTTTGTTCGTCAGCTTTTTTGTTATATGCATTTCTATTACTTTAGTGTTTCTGTGCCCTACATTTGAAGATACACAGACATGCTCCAGTGTCGGGGCCCAGTCATGGCCCACTGGAGTTTGACATTTGGAAAATAACTTCTTCTTTGTATAATTAAGGCATCAGCATTTGCTACTCTTCAAGGAAACTGTTTGTTAAGCTTGTTTTGACTCTTTGACCCTGACATAACAGGAAGCTTGTTAGCTGAAGATCTGATGTTATCAGTAAGAGTCAGGAAATCTGGTCTTTGAAAAACAATGACTTGGTGTTTTTTGTTGTTGTGTGCCCTTAAAAGCTTCCTGTTGCTGTGAACCTATAAAAGGAGCTGTTTCTGTGAAATAAACCAGACTTCTCTTCGTCTCTGCTCAGGTTTGAGTGTTCTTTCCTTTCTCAATCCTCACTCCCCGACTCAGGCATGTTCGTGTTGTGACGGCTGGACCGCCACAAGTGGCACCCGAACAGGGACTTGAAGAACAGGGACCTGAGTATCGAGGGATTCAGTGAAGGACACCGCTGGATAAAGAATAAAAGGAGATCTCGTCAAAAAGAAAGAAGAGGACCTTCAAAAGGAAGGCAAAAGAGGAGCGGTGAGTTTTCTTGTAAATATTAAAAATGGGAGCAGGCAAGAGTTGCATGCTTTTTGTATATATGCTTAAAGATTTATTGTGTGTCAGTGGTGCTAGAGTAGGGCACCAGCAATTGTGTAATTTATTAGAATTTGTAGAAATAGTTCATCCTTGGTTTTCTTTTCTTTGCTTCAGTGTATTTTCCTGTTAATGTATGAATTGGTAATTTGTGATCCGGATCATTTTGGAGGCAGGGAG